AATTTTAGGCAGGGCAGACGTCCTGCTGTCACACCACTTCATCCAAATCGCACACCTGTTAAGTTCAGTCAGAAAACAGGACCTAAGCCCAAGCCACACAATTCTCTTCTGCCCTCTCTTCCAAACTCTCCCATCAAGCCAGTCAACTTTTCCCCCAAAAAATTACGAATCAGAGAATTTCTTCCAACAGCTAATGAAGTACGTGCTAAGCTAAGATACCTTTTTATAACTTACTATTTAATTAGGAGGCAGATCTTCTTGATGAGCAGAAGCTTAGTGATCTAGACTTCAGTCGGTGGAACAATTCCACATATATGCTCCGCCAGGATGAAATCTCTCTTTTTGTGGACTTGCTCAACTCAATCAATACTAGCCAAAGTTTTTAGAAAATCATAAAACACAGAAATATGATTAAATACCAATGTAGATGGCTGATCGAGCTGCCCGACACTTATCAATCATGAAGAAAAGTGGGCACCATCCAAACTTGGACTTGACAATTTTCTTTGCTTCATGTAAGAGCTGATCCTTGTGTTTCTTCAGTCCAATATCAACAACAGTTTCTTTAAGCAAAATAAAATTAAGCAATATCAAAGCTACAATAAAAGATAATTCACCATTTGTAAGGCTACAGGCCATATCCTCAACCAGATCTTTGACTTTGCGAAGAAAAAGAGCCAAAGTCTGAGCAGTAGCATTTCCAGATACAAACACTGGTCCTGAATGCAAATATTATTAACTTGAATTGTAAAGACAAATATTGAACATACCTGGAATCATATGAGAATTGTCATCAATGGTTGTTAGAAAGGTCACTGGAGCTCGATTTTCATTCTTGTGGCAATAAGATGAATCAAAGCCAACACCATTAGCATGAGACCATAGAATGAGTGACTGTATAGCAAAGGGATGCTGAATTCCTGTAGCAAAGTTGGTGGGAGGGTCTGTTGTGTAATCAGGGGGAGAGTAGCTAAAATATTGACTGATTAATAGTATAATCAAGAAGCAAAACAAAACACACTAGAAGATTTTATCAGGATTTTTCTCTGCAAAAAGCCCAATTGCAAGTAAAGGATCATTGAGAAGCCTTTCTTTACGGCGGACATTCTGAACAATATTGTTGACTTGACTTGGAGTAGGCCAGCGGTAGCGTGGAACCTGGTGTTGATCGCAGAAGGCCAAAAGTCCTCAAAATATATTAGTTGCACCATTCACAATCAACAAAGGAATTTTAGAAAAATATACTAAGTTTAATTTGGGATGCTGTCATATTTGCGAGTGAGGCTAGCTCTAAGATGTTCTGCCAAACAAAATGTGACATTTCAAGATGCCTGTGGTGGGCCTTGTGGTGTACAAACTGTTGCCAGACCATAGCATTTGAAAGATCATTTGTCATGACCTCAACCTATAGTGGTTGAGTAAAGAAATAAAAGAAAAAATAATTACGCACATGAATCTTGACCTTTCTAGGGCAGCTGCTTGCCTTTGGACTTTGCTTCTTCCTGACACACTTTCCTCTGAGCTGCTTATCCACACCTTTACTTTCCTCTTGATTATTCTCACTCTCATCCTCTGAATTGCTCTCATCCTCCTCCTCCTCCTCCTCTTCTTCACTCACATCCTCATCTGATTCTGCAGGAGGTGCTTCAGCATTGCAACTTCCAAGACATTGATACTCAACACAGAAAACAGGTCGAGATTTATCCTTGTACTTTGATGGAACTTTGCGATCCTGAGTTGCCCATTCAAGAAGAAAGGAGCGAGCACGTATGTCCTTAGGCCGATCACAAGGATGACCAAAGAACTGCATAGAGATGAGACCACTGGAGATCTTGTACTCCTGAGGTGAGTAGTCATTCTCCTGTAAAAAGCAAGAAAAAATCAGTAAAAGTATCATAATAATATAAAACATAAAGAATCACAAAATCCTGGAACAGCCTGTACACATTTGCTGTAGGTGTTGTTCCAAGACATGTCCATCCATCCTTCTCTAACCGGGTGAGCCTATTCAGTGGCCTCATATCTGGTGACTCTGTGGTTCCGTGACGTGGCTGTTTCTTTGGTATATGAGACACTTCAATCTGCCAGATAGGTATTTGCATGCTGAACCGGACAGCCTGCGCAGTACGTGGAGTGTACTCGTTAGCATTTGGATCCTTCTTGTTGGCCTTCTGGGGAGGTGTGAGAGGCTGAAGAAATTGGGAAGACATGACAGTATCTTGATCAGGAAGTGGATCAGTTCTGATTGCCTGGCCCTTCTTTGATGGACGGCCTGGCTTCTTGCGGGTTGGCTATATGGATTTATCAGAGAAAGATTCAAGGATCAATGATATAAACCATACCTGTTGAGGAGGACCAGGTTTCTTAGCTTTAATGTTGTTGTCAGAAAGGAAGTCGTCAGAATCGTTATCCTGATAGTGTATTTTCTAGTGGAAATGAGTTAGATCTATGATGTATCAAGAAGGGAATCTACTTCTAACCTTCTTAGAACGTCTAGAGCTCTTAGCATCATCTTGATTACTGGCTTTGATCTTAGGTGGACTGGCATCTTCAGACATTGATGTGGAAAGCTATGTTATTGGTTAATGTAGATCTAAGACAAAAGATATCAAATTATCACACTTACTGCTCTCTTCTTTGGGTTCTTCTTAGTTCTACCCATATTGAAGGCCAGAGATGGTGGTGGTAGAGGATCAAGGTAGCACAAGATCACAGCTGTGTGCAGTTGATCAGAGACATCCCAATTAGGAAATTGAAAAAAGCAGGGTTGGATCAGTACTTTTTATGAGAATAATAAGGGTTGGATCAGTACTTTTTATGAGGATAATGGGGGTTGGATCAGTACTTTCTTTTAGAGGATAATGAGGGTTGGGTCAGTACTTTCTCTTAGAAAATAATAGGGGTTGGATCAGTACTTTCTCTTAGAGAATAATGGGGGTTGGGTCAGTACTTTTCTAGCAGAATAATGAGGGTTGGATCAGTACATATTCTTAATCATAATGGGGGTTGATCCAGTACTTTGTTACACTCTGAAATAAGGGTTGGATCACAAGTTGGAAAAAGGTTGTATCAGTACTTTTAAAATGCTAGAATTGAACTTGAAAAGCAGGGTTGCTTCAGTACATCAAGAACCTGGGTTGGATTTGTAGTTTGGTATAGGGTTGGATCAGTACTTCATATTTAGTTACATCAGTAGTTCAATTTCTGGGTTGATTCAGTAGTTACAAAAGCCGGGTTGATTCAAAGACTGCAGGGGGTAGAAACATATTTTGGAATCACCTTCGCCGTCCTCCACACATCACATCACCCTCTTCCCTCTTCCCATCCAAACTCCAAACCACCATCACAGAATATTCGTTTTCGAAAGAAACCCCCAACGCCGCGTAAACAGAACCCTGAGCCAAGAGGCGCCAGAACCCCCACGAGGACGCAGCTCGGTCCATCGTGGGTTCGTGGCACTTCGCTCTTCGTACCAGGGCCGTACAGAGAAGGCGAGGCTCATCGTGGCGCCTGAGGGGTGGACGGAAGGCGAGGAAGAGGAGGGAGGTTGTCAGGCGATGCTTACCTTGGATAAGATCACGAGTCAAGACCCACGAAGCAGAGAATAGACGTTTGTCAGCTAGCATCGTCGGCCCTCTCCTCGCCTCGAACATGAGCTAGGAGAATTAACGCGGGCCAAGTGAGAGACAACATTCTATATCTTCCGTCTTGATCCTCACGCACAAGGGATGTCAGATTTGATAGATCGAACAGATCGTAGAACCAGACATGTGCGCTCCTGCCCGAGGAAACTACCTTGAGAGCTTGAGAGCGCCGCTAATGTCAAGAACGTTGCTGAAGAGTAGAATGGATGCGCGCGGACGAGGAATGCTAACTTGACGTGTTGAAGGCTGCTGGTGTACTCATGATAGAAAGAAGGTGCCGTTCGCACGCGAGGGAGAGCAGTGGTGTAGAGGGTCGCGAAGGGTGGGTATATGAGCCAGAAATTTGCGCCGAAGGAAGGAGGACTCCGTGCTTATATTCGCCTTTCTCGAGTGACGCGCCTGCGACAGGGATTGAAGTTTTGAATGTCCTCAATTTGAAAAATAGCATGGAACCTGCGGATTCGACCACTCAAAGCCAGCTTGGCATATGGGGACTGGTTCTTCAAGAATGAATCTCGCCAAATTGCAGCTTCAGGAAGAAGTAATGGAAGTGGACATAGTCTTCGTTGTCATCCAGGGCCGAGAGCAACACTCTTCCCTTCCCATCCGAACCCAACCCATCACCAGTCTTACACAGAACCTTCGCCATCGAAACAAACCCCAAACCCCACATAAACAGAACAACCCCCAGAGCCAACAGACGCCAGAACCCCCACGAGGACGCAGCGAGGACGATCGTGGGTTCGCGGCGCTTCGCTCTTCGTACCGGGACCACGCGGCTTAGGCGAGGTTGATTGGGGTGCCTAAGGGATGGATGGAAGGTGAGGATGGAAGATTGTCAGACGATGATTTTGGAGAGAGCGGACGGAGAGGGAATGCGAACGTACCTGGATATGTATACGGGTCTCGACCCACGAAGCGTAGAATAGACGCTTTCCGACGACCAGCGTCGGCCGTCTCCTTGCCCCGAACATGAGCTTGGAGAGTAAATATGGGCCAAGGGAGAGACAATGTTCTATCTTCCGTCTGTCTTGAACCTAATGCGCCAGGGAATGTCCGATTTGGCTGATAAAACAGATAGTAGCGCCCGACATGTGTCCTTCTACCCGAGGGAATCAACTTGAGAAAACTTGAGACTACTATCAACGGCAAGAATGTCCCTGAAGAGATTGGACGAGTATGGACATGGAATTTTTGAGAGATGCGTCGACTCGGACGTTTGCTAGCAAAGTCGTGATAGATAGAGTGAACTTGCTCCTCGTAAGCGAGGGCGAGGAGTGCTGTAGAGTGTCGTGGATGGTGGGTGTATGCGCCAGCATGATCGATGGGATTCGAGGAGAAGAAGAGTTTACTCCCTGCGTATGACCATCCTTCTTCGGTGATGTGCCTGCGACGAAGATGAGAGAGATGGATGCCATCGATTCATTGAAAATGAGCCCTAGCGCACAGAACCCACGGATTTGACCATTCACAGAGCGAGCTGGTGTTGAGAGAATGCCGAATTACAACTTGAGGAGGGGTTTGTAGAAGTGGACGTAGTCTCCGTTGTCATCCGGGGTTGAGGACGATACGCATAAGGAGGAGCTGAGGACGGCCAACAGCTAGTTTCGCAGATGTTGCGAGAGGCTGGGGGATTTGGATGCCTGATACCGGCTTAGTTAGATGCACAAACAAGAATGAGATTTGAGAACTCACATCATCCTCTTTTTCGTACAGCCTGCTACTTTGACGAATCTCTGCGAGAATTCCCAACATCTCTCCTCGTCTCCGTCTTGTAGACGACGCTCCTCGAAAGGACCGCGATAAGTGTGCGTGAACAAAACATTGAGATCTTTCATGAGGAGTGCTGATGAAATTGTCGGAATTAGGTCAAAGGCGGAAGCCAAGGGCATGCCGGGCGCATATATTGACCCAGGTGGGCAAACGAAGAGGTGGAGGACGTGGTTTTTGAGGCGAAGATGGACGTTCCAACATTCCAAGACGCGCTAGGTATGAGTCGTCCGGGTGTCATCGCACGAAGATGACTGGAATTCTTGCGGGAGGTCGACGTGAGGAATCCAAAGGAGGGCGAGGGGAGAGGAGAGAGACCAGGGAAGGCATGCATCAAAGGGGGCGCGAAGAGGGGGGTGGTGACGGAATGACAGAGCGAGCATGAAGGGAGGGGCACAGCACGAGTAAGAGAGAGTTTTTCATCGAGTTGAGCTTGCGGTGGATGTACAGATGTTGGGGCGAGACTAGGGTTGTGGGAATAACTAGGGGGTTTTATATGAAGTGTAAGTTACTATGTAATTTACTATGTAAATTACCTATTTTATAGGTCACACCAGTATAAAATGTAAAAAATGTCCTCCTCATAACCATGATCCTATGCATGATCCTCCCCAAGTGCGGTGGTATGCGGTCTCCCCAGTCCCCAGTAGAAAAAAATGGCTGGGTTTAAAGTGACAGTTGAACTCGCCACGTCCATCGTCCCAGTTCCAGCACTGCCCGTGTCGACCCCATCAAACGTAATGGCTCTTCCCACCGCGCCTGACGATCCGGCATGGCGAAATCATGGCCACACCTTTGATTCCCTTCCCGTGAATGTCAAAGCTTAGTATGTCCGCGGGCAATTGGAAATACCCAAAGAATATGAACGTACACTTTTTCCTAACCCTCAACTCTCTATAATCAACTTCGTCCACACCTTTACCCCTCCACCTGCATGCCCAGATCAGAAACAAAATACGTACCAACTTCCCACCGGCCACTCATTTTTTCAGACAGGTTTACCAGACCTAGGAGACGTTTTGGCCCTCATTCGGGTCATGGTTCCTCCGAAAAGGATTGTTGCGGAGCTTCTCAAAGAGGCAAAACAGAAATGGTTGGATGGCCATTCTTCGCTCTCTGTCCCGGGAGAAGCACTCCTTATCCCCTTGTGGGTCCTTTCCTTTTGGACACACACTCTCTTCGACATCCTTCCTGTCCACCGTGATTGGCAAATATCTCTCGAGTGGCTTCGATGCGATGAGTTTAAGCTATTTCAAGGCCAAGTTCAGGATGCCATCCATGCTCTTTCAGCCCTTCCGTGGTCAGGCTACCTTTCCCCCATGTCATCTGGCACCTCCAGCATGAGCCTTCTCAAATCCACCCTGTCGCTGTTCCTGTCACGCAAATGGCTATCCGATGAAAACACCGACCAAATGACACACTTGCTCCAGAAGGGAGTCGAAGGGTCCAAATCCCATTCGAACGTCATCTTCTTGAGCAACCAGATGGGGTGTACAATCATTGATCTCTATCTCAACGAGAAAAGTGGGAAATCAAAGTACAACCCAGATGGAGGGGAACACTTTCAGCGCTTTGGTGCAAGACTCTCAGGAAGTAGCCGTATCGCAGGAATCATCCATGTTAATGGGAACCATTGGGTTGCTGTCATCGTTGACGTGGGAGAAGAGAAGTTCTGGTATGGCGATCCAGCACGCAGGTCTCCGGATGTGAATGTTCGGGCTGCATTATTGTGGTTCCTCTCGAAACATGTTATCCTGGTGGAGACTGCTGATTTCGAAGATGTCACCTTGCCCGCTCCCATGCAGGATTTCTCACTGGATTGGTTTAATTGCGGTATCTTTAGCTATAATGCACTATCACATCATTTCCTTCATGAGCCTCTCCTTCGCAATACACACAACCCCATCTATGGTGATCTGGGTCGTATTGGCATGTTCTGCAAATTAGTCAATGACTATAAGCTAAATGTAGGTCTCATGGTTGGCTGTCCTTCATATGATTGCTGATTTGCTTTTTGCAGTGCCCCCCGGAAGAGGCTGCTCTTGCTATTACATTTGATGCCAAATCATACTTCGGTTTGAAGGAGTACCAACGCGACTCAGACCACAGCCCCAGCCTAGGGCTGGATGCCGTACCATATACAGCGACGGCTGTAAGTAAGATGGCCATCTTCATAGACGACCGGCATGATTGCGGTACGTATGGTTCACCTCAAGGTGGGGGACGGTATGGTGACCGTCTGTATACCTCCGTATACGGTTTATGGTATATGAAGTCCAGTAGAATTTATTTTAAGGGTTAGTTAGTATGATGTGTATGTGATAGATAAACATTAAAGTAAGAAAGAAAAGAAGAAAAATGAATGCTGCAGTTAGAGGTTACCAACAATGTCTAGAATGGCCTTGCAATGAAGATGGAGCTGGTCTTTGACGACTCTCAGAGTGCTGAAGGTCTGCACATGTAAACTTGCCCACCGAAGCCATCTCTTCCACCCAAGAACACACGCTCGACTGCAACTGCAGACCCTGAGATTGAGATTAGATGAGATAAGTCATATCAATGGAACAGACATTAATGTACCGGGGATGCAAAGAACACGGCGAGCAAAGCGATCGCATGACAGAGGTTTGGAAATGTCTCTCAACATGTGTGCCATCACTCGAGAGGGTCCGCCTTCTCAGTTGTCTGACTCAATCATCTCGCGAACACTGCGGCAGACTGCTCTCATGCCCCTCATCCCAACAAAAAGTGAACTAAAGTTGATATCAGTTTTGCTTCAGATGTGATATCAAACTGGGAACTGACCGATGACGGTGTACTATTCCCCTGCATAGTGATGAGGATAGAAGATGTATTGCAAGGGTGGGGTGATCGATGTGGAGGATGTTGCAGGATTGAGCCTCGAGGCAGGCTCCGAGTCTCGGTGCTACGAGCTGAAACCAACACAACCTGCCTGCTCGGCTGAAGGGCGCAGAATATGGCGAGACATATAAGAGAGTTTCAGCTCGGAGGCAGCGTCTTTCGAGCTCTCAGATAGGGTGCTCGTGTCAAATGCAGGCGGGGGACAGAAGCAATTTCGTGTTGCAGGCTTGATCAACAAGAACAGCTGATTGTGGGACAGTTGGGACAAGTTGTCTGCCTCGGCACTCCTCGGCGGCAAGGCAATTGCACCGTATAATATCTCAAGCCTTTTCTTCCGTAAATACGACCGTAACGGCTAGACGGAGACGGTCAATACGGAGGTGTAAACGTCCGGCACCGTACCGTCTAGCTGGCTCTTCAAGTCCAGTACGGTACGGTACCGTAACCGTAATACGATGCCGTCTCACCATCCAAATATGGCCCGGCGTCCAGCCCTACCCCAGCCCACCCATCACTCCTTGACCCGCCACTCCGCCACCTCATGAAGACGCTCTTGTATTATCAAAAGCTCTCAAACAGATGTCTGTTTCACCAAAGAAACCAAAGGCGAAGAAGAAGAAGACTGCGACAGCTGACCCAAAGAGTGCTCGGTCAGTCGTAGCACCTATTTTCCAGATTCCAACAGGCGGGACATGTAAGAATCCTAGCACGAAGTCTCAGTCGTTTGGGAAGCAAACAGCTCAGAGATAAATTAAATACCTAGCACGAAGTCTAGGTAACAACGTAAGTACACAAGAAAATACAAGGGCAGGAAGGTAACTCACCTCAGTCGTTTGGGAAGCAAACGGCTGAGGGGAGACGACGAGAGTCCATAGCTTATATACATAGTAAGTACACTGTCCATAGAGTACTCAATGGAAACAAGTAAAACAGGAGAGAAATGGGATTGAATATCCCAGGGATAAAATGAAGGAAAAAATGCGCAATAAAGAATAGCGCAGGTACATGAATAAATGCGAGGCTATGTTACATGGAGAGTGAACAAAAGAAAGAGATATTGTACATACTTGTGGCAGGACTGTGGCGCTAGAGGCGCGGGCGCCAAAATGGAGTGGGATCGGCTTGGGTTTGCCGTCCATATTCCAACAGGACAAGCTCAAAGGTTTCCAAGAAGCGGGTATGTTTCTTGTAGCTTCAGCTGCGATTCAACAAGTGACATTCCCTCTCAAATTTTCAGAGACGGGAGGAGAGCGACAATGAGGAAAACTTGAAGGCTCGACCACCAAAGCACACTGGCTCTGAGGACTCTGACACCTCTGATTCCCCGATTGCACGTAATCCAGGTCGTCCCCGGATTGGTCTCCTCGATAAATTTACAGTAGCACTCAACACTTGGTGAGGGGAGGTGCAAGCACATCGCTGTATCGGCAAAGGCTGCCCAAAGGTTCATAAGCCACAATCCCATATCCAAGTACTCAACCATGTGAAACGATGCCTGAAACTCACCTCTGACCAATGCAAGATGGCCTCAGCAGCCAGTTCAAAGGATGCCCCCAGTGCAGTGGTGGAGAACAGCCTCAAGACCCTGCTCTTTGGCTCGTCCACTTCCCAATCCTGTGCCCCCAACCAGGAAGCCCCACAGCCAGCAAGCTACCAGGGCGAGCTGCAGGGAAGTGTCATTGTTGTTTGCTCTTCCACCCCTTTAACTCCATCAACACCCCCCATAACTGACAAGCTTGCATTCTTTGGTCCATGAGGGCGTCGTGTCCACCATCAGGCTTTGAACGCCACTGTCCTTAAATTCATCTGTGCAGCTCGTGTTGCTCCTGCGGTCGTGGATCTTGATGAGTGGAAGGCTATGTTTCTCTTGCAAACTCCCAGCTACTCACCGGCGTCACGAACAACTCTGATGGAGAACCATATTATGTCAGAGCAGGAGTATGTTTGGGGAAAACAGATTGAGCTCCTCAAAACTAAGCGCAATCTCAGCCTCTCGTTTGATGGTGGTTTGATCCGGAGTGGCGACTCGTTGTATACTGTGCATGCCACAACAGAGGAGCGTCGTGTCATGCTGATTGAGGGGCAAGAATGCACGAACATTTCTCATACTGGTTGATGGATTGCAGACTTAGATTTGCAGGTGATGGACTTAATAGGACGCGACCACTTTATAGCTGTTTCTTCCGATAACACAGGGAATACACGAGTCGCGCGAGATATTCTCTCGGATGAGGTGCCACTCCTCCTCAACCTTCTAGATCCAGCACATCATCTTAACAACACATGGAAGGATATCGCAAACCTGCCCTATTTCAAAGAGGTGTGTTGCCATAGGATTATTTCTTATCTGTGCTTGACCTTTGGGACCTTGGCTAGCTCATCAAACAAATTCAGACAATAATAAAGTACTTCAAGCATGCAAATTTTGCGAAGGCTCTTCTCAAGGAACTTTGAGAGAAGATGAACCTTGGGCCTGGTCTCAAAAGCATTGGGAAAACCCGGTTTTCAACATTGCTTTGGTCTGCAGAATCCCTCAAGTGTTCCCTCATTGCAATCCTAGAGTTAGTTCAGGCTCAGAGGATAGAAATTCCGGTGGGTATCTTTGATTCTTGAAGACCGTCGTATCTGATGCAAGTGTCCAACTGCAGAAAGCCAATCATATATTTCTCAATGAGAACGCGTGCCTCCACTTCAAGATTCTACTGGTGCAATTCATCGAAGTCGGAAGCAGCATTGCGTGGGCAATCGAGTGCCTGGAAGCCAAGTCTGCAACTCCTGCCAATGTCTACTTGTACTGGCTCGTCATCCTCGCATCTATGAAGCAGGCTCTCAAAGGTTCCTTCCTGCCCGACGACGTGAAAGGAGAGATCCATGGTATCATGAATGCACAATGGCGCGAGTTCTTTGTCAAAGGTCCTACCAATGCCCATCTGGTAGCTTTCTATCTGAATCCAAGTAAGTAACAGACTAACAGTCAAGGCGTCATCATTGGCTCACCGCGCTGCCTACAGGTTATGCTCGCTCGTCAATCTTCAAACGCCCCAACCCACTTGCATTCAACATTATCCTTCTGGGACAAGGGATGCCACAGGTTCCACCTGGTATCAACAACCTGAGAACATTCCTGCAGGTCGGCGACTATCTCTTCCACCTCCTCACAATTGAGATCCAGAAAGGCACCGACCCGTTCCTGACAGCCTGGAAGGGAAAAGCATGTCAGTTTGACGTCGCCTTTAGAGCCCAATTCACAGCATATGCCCAGGGTGCTCACCCATTCACAACACCTTTGGGTTTCGGGGAAAACCCATACAACTGGTGGCAAGCCTTCGTTGGCACCTCGAACGGCGGGATTCTTGCGGTATGTGCCTTTCCTGTCGAGTTGGCATGTAACTGACAATTTTCGGGGAATCACAGGCTATAGCGGTGAAATTATACGCTGCTGTTCCACATTCAATGGCTGATGAACGCACCATGTCATCAATAACTCTCCTGAACACAGCTCAGCACAATCACCAGCAGGTGCCAACTGTAATTGCAATGGCTCAGATAAACGGATATTATAAAGGAGAGAAACCGAGGAAGGTATGTACCATTCATATCCAGCATGCTCCGTTTCCTAGCTGATCCTCATATCAGCTTCGGAAGTCCTCACGTCCTAATCCTCTCCTCAAATTCTTCGACATCAATCGCCTACTTCGCAGTATCGAGAATGACAATGATGATGGGAAAGCTGCATCCGATTACGATGAATCTGAAGATGAGGAAGATGTTGTATTGAGAGGCAAGGACAAAGACCCGAACACACCGTTACGCCCACCACCCTCTTCTGACTCGTTACTTTTTGATTCGTCCGACGATGAGATTGAGATGGAGTCAGAGGAGCTGGAGGAGATCCTTGCTGATGCACCAGCTTTCAGGAGGATAAAGAAGGACAGATTCGCGCCTGTGGTTGAGGAGGTGGTTGAGGATGGAGGCGAATTCAAGCTCAGCCCGTGGGTACAGGGCGTTGGGAAGTAGTCACGTGCGACCGGTTAAAAATAGGTAATTTACTATGTAATATATGTTATTTACCAGCGAAAAATCTGGCGTTTGTAAGTTACATATTTACATGCACCGAGGGGAGTTTTTCCTGCAACACTAGGCAAGACAAACACAAATGTTGATGCATTGATGACTGTCCATGAATCTTCAGAATCATGGCGAACACATGCGGGCATATGAGCAGCGCTGGCGAGGCAAAGGGAGGAGAGAGTCTTGCTTGGGTAATCGCTGGAGTGGGGCCAATGGGTGGATGAGGTTGGTCACCAGTGAGGCAGGGGCGAGGTGGAGTGGTGGCAGGAGGGGAGGTTGAACTCAAGTTGCACTTGTCAAAGTGACAGGCAACTGGCTGGCCCTGGACACCCATGTGGTTGTCCAGTATTGGGATTCAACCACCGCTCCCACGACCTGAAATGGGAATTTTATTTTGGGCTTTGAAAGGCTTGACATGCCATCAGCAGGATTTTCACCACATGCGAGGAGACATCCTCACCAGAGCATTTTGTTCCTTGACCTCATGTCGCCTACCATCTCGGTGCCTGCCCTTCTTCAACCCCCCCACCCTTCCTATTCCACTTTGCCTCATCTCTCTGGAGAGTTCCCCGGAAGCCTTTCGATGCCTGTGGCACAGCGGGTTGTCAGCAAGCGGGGGTGAGCATGACTGACTCGGACTCAGCAGCGCTGCACCTGCGACACCTAAGTGGACCTGGTTGCAAGGCAAGCCGAAACACTGGGACTTGGCAAGCAGTATGCTCAAAATGCCTAAGATGATCACCACATACTGCCAGTGGCATGCCCAGTGCTCTTGAAAAGGTATTCACGTAAGTGTGTCCTAGCATCACCTTTGCCCCACCAGTCAACTTAATTTCCCATGGTCAATACATGCACTTCAGTATCGCCCTACCTCCAAACACCCCATACTGTTGAACTGCAGATAGTTTCTGAAGGTGTTCTTCACCTCGCAGTGTGTTCTAGTACAGTAGAACCATACTCCCTTGTATTGGGTAGACACCTTCAATAAAAAGATTTGTTTGCCCATTCTCTGGCTATGACCTGACATCTTGGTTATGGGGTAAATGAATTGAATACACTTATATTGCTTCCTGTTGAACTCCTCATTCACCCCCATGGCCAATTATCAGCTGACCCTAGTCTCATGCCCATCCGTATTCGGTAACTGGACGCTCCGAGAGATTTTGATGGTCGCTTGTTCCTCCTACGTCCAGTGCATTTGAACCATGGGACCACAGCTACGTCATTTGTGACATCTGCCTTGGCACGTGCACCGTGTTCCCACCACTCGAGGCAGCTTTGCCATCCCAAGGGTTTTCCTTTTGCGGATGAGGACCGAGCGATGACCAAAATGACTGAATGGACATCACGTGATAGAAAGAGCCGAATTGAGAACAGTTCCAGGGTCAAGAACCGTGCCCGCCGAAGTGTGAAACGGAAATGATGACAAAATGAGACGCGTGCCAAAGACTTTGAGTGAGGTTTCAGATGAAAACCGTGGCTAAAAAAGTGCACAGATTTGCTTCCGGAACACCCTTGGAATGACCAATTTTTCCCACTCGAATCCTCCTCTGATGAAAAATTGGTCATTCCAAGGGTGTTCCGGAAGCAAATCTGTGCACTTTTTTAGCCAGGGTTTTCATCTGAAACCTCACTCAAAGTCTTTGGCACGCGTCTCATTTTGTCATCATTTCCGTTTCACACTTCGGCGGGCACGGTTCTTGACCCTGGAACTGTTCTCAATTCGGCTCTTTCTATCATGTGATGTCCATTCAGTCATTTCGGTCATTGCTCGGTCCTCACTGATCAGGAAAAACCGAGTTTCCTGATCAGCCTCGGTAAGTGCTAATAAGGCACAATAAGCCAGACCCTCAATGATCTCACCTTACTATCAGTCAATAAGGTAGAGTCAGTCACCGATAAGCAAGAATCAGCTCTGAGGAATACTTATCCAGTAAGAAAAAGCCTCCCATTAGTGAATACATATGCTTATTTATCTGAGGCCCAGGACAACTTGGATAAGGCAATTGCTAATTTACAATTACTCCACATATAAATATTTTAGCTCAGACTTGGGCATACTCACACCAAAACTTCAAGAAAAAGATCATTGCTTTACATATTATAAATAAATACAGAAACTTGAACCACCAAGTCCGGTGCTTTCAAGCCTTTCCTCACCGTTCGAACATGCAGGCTGGCCTCTCACTCAGAGCTTTGGCCTATACCCACATCCAGCACCTCTCCAATCTGCTGGACCCGCTGAATCTCATTGACATTTGGTGCTGGTGTTGATTCCAGGCAGGTACTTGATGCATTGTGGACGAGAATGTGTTAAGGCAATTTCTACAGATGCTAGTGAGTGATTTCACAGATGAACGAAACATGAGTTGACATACCTTGTAATAGTCCATGGTACTTACATCGAGAAAGCACTTGCTTGTGCTCGCAAGTTCTGTGGCAGAAGATGAGTTCCGCTTGTCAATTTGAACATGGCCAACTTACCTTGTTATGGCCCAGATTCTCGCATTGTTGTCATCTAGCACGACTCTTGCATGTCGAAAACCACACTGGCGCGAGATGAGACTCGGGGGACTTAGTGGGATTGTCAGTGGTGGTTGAGCTGACAAAGGGTCGTGACATCATGTTGACACAATATATTTGTTTGGTTGCAATCAACCAAATCACGTGTGCATAGTTGAACTTCAAGCTTTCGCGCCCTTCTTCCTTGCTCTCTTCCAACTCCATCCCCACCCATCAACTCCCTTCCACCGCTGTTCGGGACCCCCAGGACCATCATGCGACAAACCTGCACACATCAACTATGCCTGCCCCTGTCGCCATGTCTAACGCCGCTTCTGTGGCTTGACTTGAGGGAGGAACAGTGGGGGAATGGAAGACGGGGCAAGGGAGGCCCACAGAGGTATGCCACAACTCCCAATCGCCTGCCCTTGCTCAGCACTACCCTCCAGCGCCCCCTCGCACCTCCGGGATGCCACGTTACAGCAGTGCACGACGGCCCCGACGTACCCCAAATGCCAGCGTGTCCCGCCAGCAATGAGGTCCCAAATGTACGATCTCATGGCTACAGCCACACGAACATCGTCGACATGCTGCAGGCATGGACCCAGCCCTCGCACCTATGATGCCATGGTATGTCCAATCCAACCTCTGCTTGCCCACTCACTTCTAACACCCATTGACTATGCCAGGACCCCCGCATGAGGCCCTGCATGCTGAACTTTCATGTTCAGTGTCTGCTGGTGCCCCGATTTACTCTCCATCTGGTCTGCTCACTGCCCACCCTTGTGACCCCTACTGTCCTTTTTCTCTCTTTCTTCTTGCCAACCCAACGACACAGAATTTCTGTGTTCAGCGTTGTTAGAGCGATTCATTTTTTTCCCAGACCACCACCACCTCCCTTGGTATGTTCCCCTTGCCTGACCTTCCATCCTGCTCATTTGATGCCCACAGGACACGTGTGTCAAGGTATTACGCACCTGACTGCTTACAGGTAAGTTCGCTCTTAGTTTGTTTATTTCTGAGGAACTGACCTAAATGCTGCATGTTCGGGTTTGTTTTCAGATTCATTCATTTCTACACACATGATAGTGAGCGCCAATCTTTTCCCTTTGTTGTCATCCCTCTCAATTACTTTGACATTCACATGCCATGTTCCCATTTTGTGGTGGGCTCCTCGGGTAACTGCGCCTTTACTGAGAGGATGAGGTCTAGAGGCTACAAGGGTTTTGGCATCGGTGAGGAATGAGAGTGAAGGTTCTTTCTTACCATATCCTATTCTATAATGTACATACTCTTTGAATGCATGTTTTGATATGTTCACAATTGCGGAATGTGGTGAAATTCAGGGAAAATATGAAAAAAATTATGAATGGGTGAATCTTATCTTTGCTTATGATATACTTATTAGTGTGAATAAGTGATGAATAAGTGAAGAATAAAAGGGTAACCTGCCTTACTGACCTGATCCTACTGACCAGCCTTATTGCTGCTTATTTTACCTAATTCTAAACTAATTCTACCTTATCAGAGCAAATTAGCAATCTCAGTTTTTCCTGATGCGTCCGCAAAAGGAAAACCCTTGGGATGGCGAAGCTGCCCCTCTGACTCGTTGTCAATCGACTCGCGTCGACTCGGTACCGTATCACTCCCTTGTACCCTCTCCAATGGTCCCATCTACCACTCAGCATGCCTGGTCTCGCCTTCGGTCATACCAGATTGTCTTGAAGGCCTGTGTAGCTGCTTTGAAGGCGTCAAACTACAATCCCGATGCGGCGACATGGGATGCGTTCATTTCTGCCATTGCTGACCGCCTCCATTATGAGCCCCATTCATGGCAGCTGGATGTGGGCAAAGCGCATCATCTCAGCCTGGACTGTATTGTCATTGCCTGAATTGGCTCCAGCAAAACCATGCCCTTTATGATGCCTTGCTTGCTTGGTGAGGGTAAGAAGGTTATTGGAATCTCACCGCTCGAGATTCTTAAGAAGAACAGGTGTGTCTTAATCTATGGCTTATGTTGTACCCAACCCAATTTCAAATAGGCCCTGAAATTTGAAGACACGAAACTCACAGCTATCATGGCAAGACATGTAATTACAGTCTCACAAAGGTGTGTTCATGCTTGTTTTTGACTGATTACTCACAGTAGGCTAGGAACTTGAGGAGGACTGTGAAGCCCTCAAGCACCTTCTCGGTCATACACCCAATCCTACGACACCCAATGATCTCTGCAAGACCATTGTCTTGACCAACTAAGTCCAAATGAGCCACCTCACTGCAGGCAAAGTCCAGTCATGGTTTCCACCTCACCTACATGAATATATTGGCTACGTTTATTCGCACCAGTCAAAAAATGCGAGACGTCGAGGTATGGAAGTATTCCACAATAGCAAGATGAGGAACCCCATTGCCACGGAGGCGGTAGGCATGGTGAGTCCTTTATCTATTCCGTCTACCTCCTTTACATTGATGGCCTCCAGGTCTTTTGGCTGGAATAAATGTCAACAGTAGACTCCATTCCGTTCATGTCGAATTGGAGGTGGTAGGGTAGCAGTACCAAGAACTGTGTTTTGACGGAGTATGCCAGACTTTGAGATATTCGTTCCCCTGAACCTGGGACTAGTAAGAAGGTCATAGACTCAAAATTAGGAATATTTTGTTCTGTAGGTAGATAAATATACTTAATTTTCAATAAAATACTGTACGTAGACCCTCCAGACACCCATGTAGTGAAGTCATGTCCCTTTTGAGTACGCGTTTAGGGGTGTTGATGCGATCACTTGATGTGACTAGAGTTATGATCTGTGACAGGGTGTGGTCACACGGTTCAAATGCACCAGACGTAGTAGGTGGCACGCCCCATCAAAAACCTCACAGCATGCCAACTGCCTAATACAGATGGGGATGAGACTAGGCTGACCCCAAGAAACGAATAACTCAGCTTCGGATGTTCCAAAAATAAAATTCCCATTTTGAGTCATGGGAACGGTGGTCAAAAATGAACTGTGGTTGTCGCCCATTGCCGCAGCTGCACAAGTTGACGTCCAGCTGCACAAGAGTGCTTATCTACAAGTACTCATCAGAATTGTAAATAAATATGAGTGCATAATAATCACATCGTACCATACACCCCAGTCTGAGAGACACAAGCCTGGCATACTGTACCACTCCTATGAATTGAGGTCTCATCCGACTCAGAAAGTCAGTTCCTCCTAGCGAATAAATATCTACAGTAGAAGGGGCAATATCCACCTTTTTAGTCATGTCGCTTATTTAGCTTTCAACTCTACGACCTTCCCAGGTGGGTACCCATCAGTGTCCTCGACCTGGAGGTTCGTGGGGTCGAGCGACTAGGTAACAGCATGAAAGTGTACAGGAAAACAGGAGAGGGCAAGAGTCTACTCCAAAAGAATAAAATAACGGTCCAGAGGACAGGAATAATGAGTCAACGGCATTGTCCAGAGAAAGAGAAGTCTTGACAAGATCAAAAGAAAAGGGGGAAAATGAAACAATACGGAGGAAAGCTATCGGACATGGTGTGCGAACAACATTTATGCACCTGAGCCTCATACGAGGCTCCGAGCACAGCGAAAATGAGTCAACGGGGATCGAGTCCTTGGCCAGTGCAACCCCAAAGTTTGACAGCGGTTGAAGCTCATGAAGGGGTGGCTAATCAAACCTAAAATGTGAATGTAGCTTTTATCTGCACTGAGAAGTAAATCAGAAGAGACAGAAAAGAATGGAACACTTACAGAAGTTCAGGAGCTCCTTACAACGTCAGGTTAGGCTGGAACGGTCATGAAATTGAGCCCTCTACTCGTTAAGATCCACAAGAGACTTGTAGGCGCTGGTCCTGCCCCGTCAGGCCTGACCTTGCAGTGATGCCATGCTATCCGTACTCGAGCACAATCACTCATAGAGCTGCTGCTGTGGCAGTTGAAGGAGCCACGGCAGCTAGATCTCGCCCTCCGTATCATTGTCCTCACTATTGAGTCAAAACAAGAACATGTGCAAAAAGTGGTTGGGTCGTTGGCAAAGACTAGAATTCTGGAAGATTGAGAACGAGAATCAGGGAATGCGCCTCAAAAATTGGAACAAAAGACTGACAGCTGTTCCAAAGTGCATTCCCCACTGGCAGATTCTGTTCATGAATCACCCTTCTCCAAGAATACTGTATGCCGAACTGCTATTGATCTCTGAATATTGTTGAGGAGTAGAACTTCCGGTTTGAGGGAGTCTTTGAGGAGTTCCATGTGACAGAAAGATCCTTTGCGTTATGAAAAGGGGTCAAGACTCCTGAGCATCGTCTGAGACCGAGTTTTCTGAGGGCAGTGGGCAGTTGAAGGAGCTGAGAGGAAAGACGATACTGGAGACACACGTCAATTTTTGGGGCAATTTCTGTGAGCAAACATTGCACCTGTAGCCTGAGGATGAACGTGTCTTGTGCAAGATGTTCATGGTAGTGGAGACTTTACCTTCAACGATTTTCTGTTGTCCATTCCCTAGTGTTCTGCTGGCGTCCCACCAATTTAAAGCATGTTGCATTCATGCAGCCAATACAGGGGGACACTCTGTAGGACAGGTGATAGAGAAACCATATGTCAAACAGAAACCACTTGGATGCTAGTGAAAGAGTTGAGCACAAGGAAAGGTTTGCCAATCAATGGAGCACAGCCACACCTTCAGGCCGCTTCACTGTTGTGGTTTGAGTCAAGCTGCACTATTGTTCGATGGTTAAAAATAGCCAACAAATACCGCATCACAGAGAATACAGGATCCATAAATTTCATAAATAAAATGTAAGCTGGTCCACTGGAACGTGTACAGATTCTTTCATCCCTGGAGCAACACCATGCTGCCAGCGCCTATTTGAATTTTCAAAGCCAACAATGTCTTTGAGAAGAAAGATAACGCAGAAATTTGGGGCAACTATCACAAATGAGTAAATTAATGCCAGAGGTAAGCTATCCAGTTCAGAAATCTCATTCAAAATAAGACAAGCTGTACATGTTTTTAATGCAGACGGCATAATAAGTGCAAGTAATGCTGTGTCGCTGTAGGTGAGGACTAGATAAATAATATAGCTACCATGATTCGTTCAAGTTGAAGGACCAGTGGTCTCTTCGCCGCCGTCAAGGCACACCACCGTCATCCACGTCTCCGCATCCCATATCCGAACTGTCCTGTCCCAAGACCCTGACACGACACACTTGCCGTCAGCTGAAAACACAACTGAGTAAACCCAGTCTGTGTGTCCTCGCAATGGCTCTCCCATTTGCTTCCCCATCTTCGCATCCCAGATCCGAACTGTATTGTCTGACGAGCCGGAGACGACATAATTTCCATCAGGAGAATATGCTACAGACCTGACCCAATCTGTGTGTCCTTGGATCGGCCCCACCACCATTTCCCCTGTCGTCGCATCCCAGATTCGAATCGTTGAGTTGCCCGAGCCTGAGATGATTCAGCAGCCATCAGATGAGACCGCGACAGAGAGGACCGCGCTTGTGTGTCCTTTGAGTGGCTCTCTCACGGCATCCCCCGTCTCCACATCCCAGATCTGAACCGTGTTGTTGGCCAATCCAGAAACTACCTGCTTGCCACCAGGTGAATACATGACAGACCAGACCGCATCTGTGCACCCTCGGAGCAGCTCACCCACTGGCTTCCCTGTCACCGCGTCCCAGATCCTGACCGTCTCGTCATCTGAGCACGAGACAACATGGCTCCCATCAGGTGAGAATGTTACAGACCAGACCGTCTGTGTGTCCTTTGAACGGCCCTGCCACCATCTTCCCGGTCTCTGCATCCCAGATACGAACCATCTTGTCGCCCGAGCCAGAGACGATGCACTTCAAGTTGTCATCAGACGAGAATGCAACGGAGTTGACAGGACCTGTATGTCCTTCCAAAGGCCCTTTCAAGATCATCCCTGTCACTGCATCCCAGATGAAAATCTTCCTGTCCCAAGAGCCTGAGGCGATGCATGTGCCGTCAGGAGAGAATGCGATGGAGGAAACTGGCCGCTCGTGTTTCTCCAACACATGAAGACAGGCTGCGAATCGACGCTTAGGATATGCTGGCCATAGTTATCGACAATTGTCAACTCACGATTTGTCAACTTGACAATGAAACCTTGCACCATCTCACGGTACTCTTCCTTCCCTCCATCCCACAGGCTAGAAACCCACGGAAAGACTTCGCTCAACTTGCTCAACTTGAGCTGCGTTCTGCCATCAGGGCGTGCTCCCAGAATCTGTAGCACAGCGCGCAGGAGACGAGATTGTTTCTTAAAACTGGCCTCCTTGATATCTTCCGTCTGTGACTCATGATCAACTTCCACGGACTTCAAGTCTCTCATCAACGCCATGTGGACAGAATTCAAGTTGTCGATTACTGCGTCGTAGACAGCTTGCTGTCCATCCGCTAGCAGAATCCTTCAGATATTGGTCAGAGATAGGAAGTGTTGCACATACCCGATACTGCAATCTGACGCAATCCTTCCAATGCAGCCTCGCCGTCCACAATTAGAGCCCCAACCACCGTCTTCATGTAGTCGTACAAGTCGAATTCAAGCCAATCACGCAGTTCGGGTTGATTGATGGCATCTTCCTGGTGTACCCTCATCTAGTCCCAAGCTACATCGGGCGGCGGACGCGCAATGGGGGTGTACCCATCAGCTTTCTCTCCCTTGGCAAGCACAAGCGAGGTGTGCATCTTCTGACCAGGTTGGACTTTGCGACTAGAACCAAAGTGTGGTCTGTGATTGAGGATCTTCAGAAAGAAGATGCCAGTGGTCAGGAAGGGACCTACTTTCTGGTGGTTTGCTTCCCATCTTGTCGCCTTGTGAATGTCAAACGCCTTAACGGAAAAGCCTTGAGAAGCCACCAAATCCCCTTAAGGGATTCGATAATGTTGATTTGCTCCTTACTCGAAAGCTCACGTTTAAATTGCACGGTACGCAGGCCTACGACTCCCGCTTCAAATACCATCCATCTCAATGGAGGCCGGCTACGGTCCATCCCTTCGTTCTGGACATTTCTGCCACCACTGGACATCTGGGTATCAGCTTTCTCTTGACCATCCTCTCGAGACCAAAAATAGCTCACATATCCGAGTGCGTCCCTGCAAACCACACCTCCTTCATGTGAGGTTGGGTTTTGAACGATGTCTTTCCTGATTTCCGCCTGACTGGGGCTTGCTCAATCATGTCCTCCCTTCCATCAACTGGCGGTAGCAAAGTATCTGAAGAACTACTGTCATTGGCGGGAGGGCGGTTCCCCCATGAGCAAACTCTGGCAGGAATTTCACTCGCCGCTCATCCAGCGCGAGTGCATGTCGGAAGTAGCAAACATGTCTCATACCGTCAACTGTAAGTGGAAGCATTTGTGACCCGCGTGTTATCCCTATGGACGACACAGTATCCCTGGTCCACAGCACGGTCAGCGTCCAACAGCCCAGACCGACAAAATCAGACTTGACATACCAGGCACCGACAAAATGTACCTTGACATTATCTCGTGAGAATGCACTCTTGAAGTGTGCCGCTTTGGAGGTATTTGGACCCTTGCCTCCGGATCCGACTTCATTTGCTGTCTGCTTGTCACTCGTCTCGTCCGCGTAGAGTTCATATGCACTACAAGTAATAGATTGGCATTCAGCAATATGGAGACATTGCTTTAGCGTACAATGGGATCTGCATTTTGTTTCCTCAGTGGATGAGGCCGACCTGGCATGTCGCAGCATCAGCAGGAATTTTAGCTTGATGAGCCATTTCATACTCGTACCTTTTCGATCATGGCCGAGAGCGCACGGACTTGGAATGCCCCTCGAGAGAACCCTGATCCTGGGGAAACTGAATCAATCTGTTTAGCAATACAGTAAATAACATACCAAAGAGAAAGATGCAATCTCCTGGCATGTAATGCTCCGACAGCCACTCGTACCTGCCTAGGAGAGTTTTTTCAAAATCCCTATCGGAGGCAGAAATGAATCCATGGACGAATATCGAGCACGACAGTGAACATACCAGGTGATCGCCAGATTGATCTGGTGCCACAGGACCTTCTTGTAATATTTGAAGGATTTCCATGACGGTTGAGCGTACGTCCCAATGCCGCTGTTGTACCAGGTGTGTTGTTGATCATTTTCCACCTTCAATATGAGGTTATACAGTTCGATGATGTTTGTATTCTGGAAATGAACACGGTCATATATAGATCCTTAAATCCAGGAGCTGTAAGAAAAATATCATGACAGACCTTGTCTCCGAACTGGTTCGAGGTACCATCGATACAGACAATGAGGTTCCTTCCACCCTTGGTGTGCCCACATGGCATCTTCTCGGTGGGTTGGGGCATTGGGTTGGCGACATGCGGGCAAGCGCAACAGGGGCAGGCGCCTGCGACAGGACCTTCATAACTTTGGAGGCAATCACACACGCTAACGGAAATAGGTGACTCACCATCTCGTCCTCGCGAGGAGCTCTCTGCCATCAACAACAGTAGCTGAGAGTGGGGGAGACGAACGTGAGGGAGTGTCAAGGTTGTTCCTATGAACCTCTTGGGATGAAGCCTTCAGGTGGGAACATGGCGGTATGTAAACAGCCCTTAAACCACGCCTGTCAGAAGAGATGGGCTTCGTGGTGATATGACAAAGCGTGTCACATCCCATGCCTGAACCCATTGTTCTATTGTCCCATTGTTCATTGTTCTGGTTCATCAATGGGCTTTCCCTTCATTGTTCTATTCATTATTGTCCTTATTGTTCTCTGTCATTGTTCTGCTGGCATTCATTACATAACCTAGATCTTCTCCATTGTTCTCAATAGTATAAGTAGCTAGGTAGTGTACTGGATTCCCCAGCTTGAATCTCAACCTTGACAACCCCTCTGCTCTGTTGTTCATCCTCTGTCTCCTGGGCCTTGGCCAGGATGACTTCTTCTTGTCTCTCCTTTGTCAAGACCAAGGCAGTTCCTGTAAATTGGGGACAACCAGATGATGTGTAGGGGCACAGCACAAGAGCATGCTGAGGCCAAGTCCCCCCCTCTGTTCAGGTCATTACAAAGCGATAAGAAAAACATCCTCACTTAAAGTGCAACGAGGGGACAATAAGCTTGATCAGAAGTTTCTGCTCATTTGATATCCCATCCAGATATCTGATTGGCGAACAAGAGTCATGCCACCCTCATTCAAAGGCATCACTTCTCGAGATACAATCACAGCAGCAACGAAAACAAGTAGCCAATTTTTGACCGCCCAATTCGATGTCCAAGCGTGCTATCTTGAGCCTGGACACCGTGAAGTGAACATGAGGAACCCGAGGTGCAGTTCGACGAGCTACTGCTTTGCATGTTGCATTACGTTGAATTAATCTACAGAGCAGGCAAGAACATGATTTCTGGGCGCCAATGCGTCATTTTTTTTTTTTTTTTTTTTTTTTTTTTTTGAAAGTGGTTCTTTATTGATTTACGAGGATCATTTCGCACATGACCGTAAGGGAACATCCAATCCTCGGGCTATCAACGGCGTGACCTAAGTAATACTTTAAGTGTCCGTGATCATACCAATTAACGTGACATCCTGTAACTATTTACACTAATCAGGGCTTCGATATACCTAAGCATAAGATCGCGTATATTCGCACATAGTAACGCCCTAGCTCCCGAAAGCAGCCGTTCATGTGACCGGCATCCAACACAACCTCCCTATGGGTTTGGGTTTGTTCCATCATTCACGTGCCACACGGTTCTTTGGTGGAGCCAATGCGTCGTTAACGAGGGGGAGAACGGATAGCAATGAATAAATGGACATACATGCGTGTATTCAAGTGCCCGTTTAGATTTCTTCTTCTGTCTGCGCGTAGTGTTCGTGGAGAGAAAGAGGGAGCGACGCCGCGTTCGCGAGATCGACGTTATTGAGTTGATATGATCTACAGTGCACATCAGTCCGAATTCGGAGCTCCCATTCTTCCCTCCTTCATTGGCCCGAGCCGAACTCCTCGCGTCCCCAACAACAGACGTCTAAGAACGCTTCGCCGGTCCTCCAAACATCAACACCTCACTTCTCCTACCCACACACCGGCCACAACCATCACAGAACATTCGAAAGAAAGAAACCTTCCACGCCGTGTAAACGGAATAAGCCCCAGAAGCCCATGAGGATGCAGCGAGGTCGATCATGGATTCGCGGCGTTTCGCTGTTCGTACACCATTCCATGCGGAGAACGCGGAGCGCCTAAGGCGATGATTTAGAGGGAGTAGAAAGAGAGGGATCAAGGACGTACGTGAGACATGCTCGGTCGTCTCCTCGCATCGAACACGGGCCGGGAGAACGAACATACGCCAAATGAGAAAGGAGACTCAGCTCGATTCTAACGAGCAGGTGGAAGACAGATTTGAGAGATCGAACGGAGCGTGTATCCCGCGGCGTGCAGTGCTCTTGCCCCGAGGAGACCGTGCTCGCACATGGGCGAATTATTAGAAGACGCGTCGAGCACTACCGACCAGGACGTCCTCAACAAGAGGAACGAAGAATATTTCGGCTGTGCGCGAGTTCAGGGTAGAGTTTTCGAGGCGAAAATGGTGGTTGTACGCGCCAGAAGTTCGGCTGAATCGAGCCGAAAGAGGAAATTCTCCGTGCTTGTATTCAACCTTCTGAGCTGACGTGCCTAAGGCGAAGATGGGGATACGAATGCCGCCGGTTCGTTGAAAACGGGCTCCGAAGACAGTACCCGGTCGCGACCACTCGCTGAGCTAGTGATCCCTTTTCGCTGACCTTTTGAAGTCTAATTTAGCCGCGCCGAGGCTTCAGGAGGAAGTAGTGGAAGTGAAGGGTGCGTGTTCACTGTCATCCAGGGCCGAGAACGACATATGCAAGGAGTTGAAGAAGCTGAAGTTGACCGACAGCTGGTTCACGTGTAGATGATGAATTTAGAGGCCTAAGACCGACATAGAAAGTTAGACGCAGAACTAAAATTCTGCTTCAAGAGCTCACAGCAATGCCATTTTCGTCAATCATTGCCTTTGGTCAGAAGGCCCCCAACCTCTCTCCGTGTCTCCGTCCTGTCGACGAAGTTCCTAGCATCACATGAAACGCCCATGGAGCTGAGATAAGAGTGCGTGGACGAAATCTCAACCTCTTGCGTGAGGAGTGCCGATAAAATCGTCGAGAGAGAAGCAAAGCACATTTTAGGCGCATATATTGACTCTGGTGGCCTAACGGAGGGGTTGACTGCGAGGTGTAGGCGGAATATACGTGCCAACGCGTAAATGTGCGCTAGCTATGGGGGCTCGGGGGGTCCTCTAGGACCTGAATTCCTGGGAGGTATAGTTGACATCGAAGGAGGATCGCGAGGAAGGGTCAGGAGGTAACTGAGAGACTGGAATGTATAGATCAGAGAACTTGGAAGAACGAAGACAGCGCAACGACGGAACGAGGTTGGAGTGGAATTTAAGAGGACACAGGGACGAGAGAGGCGATCATCGAGCTGAGCTTCGGGCAGGCAAGGAATCCTGGACAGGGAGATTTAGTGACGCCGACGGTTGTCCAATATGCTCGAGTGGGCAACGTTGGAGGCGGGGAATGCTGGGATGTTCCGCCTAGGAGAAAGCGTTGAAACGTTGACGCAGCGGGTCGTGGATGGCATGTGGCGGGAGAGGAGCTTGAACTCGCCACCCGACCCACGACGAACCGGCCCGAGCGTTGTCGGCCTCGGCTTTTGCCGCATGAGCGTTCAGCTTCAAGAAAATAGATTGAATTTTTAAATATCAGTACGTGATGGCCTCGTACCATGGATGAAAGACTGACAGACGATACGACACAGGTGTACCTCAAGGCCTCACCACTTGTCTGGATTGAGAATGAAAGCGTTTCGGTTGGAACGGGCGAGGCAACTCGCAGATAAATAGCCTTCTTCGAAGCGGGCGCGGAAAGTAATGTATAAGTAAGTCGCCAAAAAATTGTGATTATTATGAGATCCACCTTCTAGTGAAACCGCCCATCTACTGGACAGGCTTACGTCTGGGGTAACAGAACTTACTTGCTGCCTTTTCCTCATGGGGTATCAATTATACTCATGCGCCTATAGAGCGTGATTTTTTGACAAGAGGGCTGGGACCCCAATCGGACGGAACGTACAGGCGTGCCAGGTCCGTCTCTGCACTGCCGTTTGCCTTGGTGTATCGAAGTGAGGTTTTTGATTCCGAATAAAGTCGTCGTGATACTGTGATCCCAAGAAATCTGATACTCGTTCAGTTATGACTTGTTTTATTCTTTGTATTTCGCGGTCACTGTCGATCAAGATGATATTCAAGTCCATCCTATCACAGTATACATCAGTAAATGCAGGCATTGAGGTGAGGGCGTAGCGTGGCGTGCCATTTTATATCACCCTTTGCATGACAGGTAGGAAACGAGACAAAAAAAAATTCAAATCATTTCTCGGGCTAATGGAAAATCCTGTTTGGGACGTCGAGGCTTTGGGCGCCTACGGAGCTTCGACATTTGTCAAATCTGTCAGCGTCATCGCCTACCCACGTGTCCGTTGACACTTTTCCCGCGGTGTGGCGCACTCCCGCAAGCCCAGGCCGGCGAAACAAAATACTTACTTGTTCTAGCCACTCCAGCCAAATAGCTGAGAGAGAAGCGCAAGCGAAGCTTAGTCGAGAGAAAAGTCCTGTATGACGTCTCTCGTGATTAGATTGTGCCCAGGCACTCATAGTACTAGACTTGGGTGACTCGTGTTCGTCTTGGGTTGGGAGGATGACCAGGTCAATTGGACAGAGGGACACGTATTGAATCGTGGATGACTGGAAAACCACCTACCGATGTAAGTAATCTATCAAGGGATAGCAAGGGATGCGCCGCTTGAGGGTTTCATGGGATCCTCGTATGATGCGTCTCAATTCGGATGATTTGGCAGGTCCAATTTAGCCTCCCCAACACCCGTCCTCGCTAGACAACATGATCAGAAAATCTTGTCCAGAAACTAACATTTGAATCGAAGTTATGGTGCACATCCCCCCTAGCTCGATGCCATCGTAAGTAACCTCTCAAGGCACGAGAAGCCCCGACCCAGAAATAGACCAAAGAACTCACTTCATAACTTGTACGGAAGGACCCAACTGAGTGGCGTCCATGCACGTCATGTGGTCTCGCCCATCGCCCAAAGAGAGCCTGGTGCCCTGGCGCTGAACTTTGAAGCCTGAGAAGCAACAGCCAATTAAGGTGTCTGATTATTCCAATTGGACGAAATCAATGTTATCAAATCTACGGATCATGGGTCGTGCACAGTCTACCTCCGTCCGTCCGTCCGTCCATCGAGGGATGGGCGAGGCCGTGAGGCTGCGGGGATGTGGGCCTCGCCGTCCATGTCCAGGATTTGGAGGACCATGGGCCGTTGCTGACTACGCCTCGTCATGCTGACTGATCCGGATAGTGGGTGGGGCGGGGAATGGCGAAACGAGGGAACGAGAACCTCCAAGGAGATCTACATATGTAACGTATCATTTCGTGTCATCTACACATTCTCTACTTACGCCACACACATGCAAATTTCAGAGACCACCCAGGGGGAAAGGGACCATAAGTAACCGGATCAGGGCGCCATGCAAACACCCACAAACCGACGAGGTCAAAAAATCGATTCGAAATTTCCAATCTCCACCGCCACCAGAGTGCCGTCGTCCACGCGAGCGAGTGTTCCGATCCTCGGATGTCGGACCTCTCGGACGCCTCCGACCGATGGGTTCGTCCAATCAGCATCCTCCGAGCCCAGGTCTCCGACGCTCTGGGCACTGGGCAGTCAATCAACAGCCCCTCCGTCACGGTTTCACGGTTTCGATTCAGCGCTCTGAGCGGACGTGTCCGTTTCGCTGTGAAATCGTCATTTGTCATGAACTGTATAACTTTCTCGACTTTCAGCGTTCTCCTACCTCCTCGTTTCCGCCTATTCGAGCTTGAGTTGAATTCGCACGAAGCCATCCCAACGACTGGCGCCTGACCAAAGTCCAAGCTCACAAGGAATATAAACCCTGCACCCGCCACCGGGCGCCTAAAACAGCGCGCCGCAGATCACCCCCTCCCCATCACCACTCGCATCACCCTCATTCAGTTCTCCCATATCCGGCGTCCAACCCTCATATCTTCTTCTCAACACCTGAACGGGGGTACGGGGTTAAGTGGGGTTAACCTCCGGCCTGGGGAATTGGGGGTTCTCCGTTACTTAGATGATTAATATTCTGGGGACCTGGGGAGACCTGGGGAGGTGCGTAGCGGTGGGGGTGGGGAAGCACGGGTACGGTGTAGATAGATAAGAGTTGGATAATACGATTGTTTCGTGGGCGCCAGCCTCCAGCCTCCAGGGGTTGGAAATGGAGCGAGTCGTTCGAATTATTCGGAGAGGACGACGGAAGGGGTAGAAAGTTTCGAAGAAGGCAAACGGACCTGAGATTATCGATGAGAATTAACAAGATCGTCAGAAGCTTCCTTCTATTCTCTTCTCTCCGAATTCAAGGAACGCGAGAGGAAGGATGTTGAAAAGAAGCCCGGTGCAGAGGAGCAGAGTAAGCGTACCACGGTGCTGAGTCGTCGGCTACTCAGTCCTGTAATTGAGAATTTGATTTCGAATACCCGCGATACGCCACATCTTTTCACGAGGGCTCATTCTATGGGGCGAACACCGTATCGAGCAACGAACGTTCGACCGACCGAAGAGTGAGCTTACTCCTTCCATCGTCTCCTACTCGAAACTCTCGCGTTTCGCCAGATTGAGCATGTCCGGAGCGGGATTGAATAACATTTGGTCCGGGGTACCTGGCTAGATCTCTACATCGATGTGTTGCGAAATTCTGAAGCTTAGAGAGCATGAGCCGTTCCTGAACGTGGTCAGCCTCCAATGTTCCAATACACACCCTCTTCTGCGCCACCGAAATGTTGTACACCAGGATAGTGCTAGCGGACGCCGATATCGCACACAGGCACACTACAACCCATGAAATCGAATCGATACTCCTTCGAGCATCTCCCACTCGAAACTAACGCGTTTCGCCTCTTTAGGCTTGCCTGCGAACTCACTCACATTCACATTCACACTCACACTCACATCCTTCCTTCCTCAACCAATCATGAACACAACCTTCGACTTCGACTTCGAATTCTTCAGACCGCGGTAAGTAAGCGCACATGTCGGATAGTGTGCTTCCTCGCTCGCGTGCGCCGTTCCTGAACGTGGCCTTTTGACAATAATGACCTGTCTACCGACACCGCGATAATCCTACCACGATACGCCACAACTCATTGACACCACGATTCGGATTCGAGAAGGAAGGACGCCGAACGACCGATATCTCCACCCTCCTGTACCATTTCGAGCGGTAGAAGGGAGATCTGAAGCGGAGAAAGCCAGGTATATCCGAAGGCTCCCAGGTGAAAGGAGCGTTTGCAGCTCACGAGGGCTGGGAGATCGTCCACAGGACCTGAAATGGCCCGAAGGAGACCAGAGAAGGGGGCGCGAGAAGCACGACATGGAACAGACGAGGTCTTTTACAGACAAGTGACGAAAACGTCCAAGGAAATGGCACAGCGATCGCTATCACGATCAGAAACAGAAACAGAAACCCGTCTCGAAAACGTGGAAGTCGCGTGGGCGGCATCGGCGAACGGTGTTTTCACGTTTTGGGCTGGTGGCGCAATTGGGTGCGAGCCCAGGTGATCTCTTGCATGAGGGGGTGGGAAGGCGCTCAGATTGTAAGATAACTTGTTTTGGAGGTAGGCTCGGACTTTTGGGAGAGGGAGGACGAGAGGGGATGGGATGACGAGTGGTGTGTGACGAGGAAAGATGGGATTAGAGGATAGAAGGAGGTACACTGTACAGGGCAGGGCAGGAGACGAGTGGCGAGACGAACGGAGGAGAGATAGGGGCCTGTGGAGGTAAAGCTCTTTCGGAGAAGGACAGGAGCTCGGGCTTGAGACCACTGACGTCCGCGAGCGACCACAAGAGAGAGGAGGGGAATGGGAGGAATGAAACTCAGAGAGCGATCGACGACCGGAAACCCTCCCCCTCCCAACAACTCCCTTTCGCTATCGATTCCAAGTTCCTTCCTCCTTCCGACGTCAAGACCTGAATCCCTCGTCGAGCATGGAGAGTTGAAGCTATGAAACAGCTCTTTAGCATTCTTCAACTCGAGCTCCATAGCGAAGTATTTATAAATACTCACCTCAAACACTCACCTTCGAACTCGTCATCGATATCGGCAGCGATGGCCGTACCTAAGAATACCATCACACAGTCGTACGTAGCCACCAGAAACCAGGAACAGCACCTAGAACGAGCACGAATGGAACGTATCGTTATCAACCTCTTCAGCGTTCTACTAAGCAAGTTATTTTCGTCTCGCCATCGACAGTGGTGTTTGAGGGTCCGAGTAGCACGGTTCGCGCCTATTTTAGCACCAGATATGCCAGTCCAGGGCGACGGCGTTCGTGAGAGCAGCGGGAGAAGCGATTTGCGAGATGAAAGTGCTGTGAAGAGAAGATGGGAATGCCGTTGGATGGGTGGGGTGTGCTGAAGCCTGAAGATATTCGTGTTAACGTCAGGACCGTGGGCGTAAGGTGCACGTTTACTTACTTCCACCTTGCGGTCTTTCCCATCCGCAGCCTCCACTGAAACAGAGTTGCAGGTCACCTAGCAGAGTCGGCCTCGATCCAGGCGATGCTGACGCCGACGTCGTGATAGACTCAATGTGGGAGAGCGGGCGTGCGAGCTAGCCTCGAGCCTGCTGCCTTCACTGAAGGTTTCATCGAAGCTGGTGGTATCCAACGGGCGCTGCGATGCTGACACGTCCACGTCCGAAATTGACGTTGAGCTTCTGATTGGAGGGGGGCCCATCGTAATACGAGAAGGCGGCTAGAACGATGCATTCAAATAGAAGGACGTGTAATTGCTCGAATCACTACATGCCTTGTACATTACCCACTAAAGCCCGTCAACGACAGTGAACAACGGCGCGTTGGACGACGCGTGGGGGGGAGAAGGACGTTAGGAGTTGGTCGGCGTTGCAGCACGAGGGTGCGGGGCTGGACCGGTGCTCGTATCGGAGAGGACGCGTCGGAGCTTCGTCGTCGTCGTAGAATGCGGGTACCTGGGCATTTTGTTGACTAACCCGCGGCCCCAGGCAAATGTTCCGAGGGGATGGTCCGCCCGGCGTCGCTGGCCATGGCGTCGAGACGCGTTCTTCGTCGGGCTGAGCGCGCTTGAGCGGGTCTGGGGGCACAGTCGCGTCGCTGGTGGAATGGTACGATGGTACCGTCCTCCGTTCGCGCGGGAGCGGCCGACGCGTGGGGGCGGTCTAGAATTGCGATTTCGACGCGCCGCGTAACCCCGCGTGGGTGTGGGATCAAAACCCCAGATCGTTGCCAATTGGGTATTTCCAAAAGGGGCGCGAGACTCCACATGTGAGCGCGCGTGACCTGGGAAGCGTGTGGGCAGAAGCACTTGATGATTGCAATGCATAGATCGGGTTGATCGGCTAAAAAGAAGCTCAAGTACTTATAGCAAGTCCTCCAGTTCGACGTCCTTCGCTCTCTTGCTCGGTCTCTTCCCAGTGCGTACTGCCCCGCCCCACTTTCCCCGCATTTTCCTCACCGTCTCTTTTTTTTTTTTATAGGCCGCGTTCACAAGCAAGCACTCACGAGCGATACAATGGCAGAGAAGGAATCCTCCCCTCCCGAAAGTCACGCCGACCTCCAACGTCCAGATGAGGTCGAGCGCATCGAGGCTCCCGTCACCTGGAAGGCGTATCTTATGTGCGCCTTCGCCACCTTCGGTGGTATCTTTTTCGGCTACGACTCCGGTTACATCAACGGTGTTTCTGGTTCTTCTCTCTTCATCGAGGCTGTCGAAGGCCCCGGTGCTACCGCCCTTACCAGCTCTCACCAGTCCCTCATCGTCTCTATTCTCTCATGCGGAACGTTCTTCGGTGCGTCGCGTTTCGATTTCATCTTTTATTATAAACTCATATTTTTATACCCTCTTCTAGGTGCCCTGATGGCTGGCGACTTTGCTGATTGGATCGGTCGTCGCACCACCGTCATTCTTGGATGTTTCGTCTACGTCGCAGGTTGCGTTGTCCAAACCGCCACCACCGTCAACAACCAAAGCCAGGCTCTCGGTCTCATCGTTTCCGGCCGTCTGCTCGCAGGTTTCGGTGTCGGTCACGTCTCCGCCACTATCATCATGTACATGTCCGAGATCTGCCCCAGGAAGGTCCGTGGCGCCTTGGTGGCCGGCTACCAGTTCTGCATCACCGTCGGTATCCTCCTCGCCGCCTGCGTCGTCTACGCCACCCAGGACCGCGAGGACACCGGCCAATACCGCATTCCCATCGCCATCCAGTTCGCCTGGGGTCTCATCCTCGGCGTCGGTCTCTTCTTCCTCCCCGAATCCCCCCGCTACTACGTCAAGCGCAACAACCACGAAGCCGCTCGTCTCTCCCTCTCCAAACTCCGTGGCCAGCCCACCGACTCCGAGTACATCGAGTCCGAGCTCGCTGAAATCATCGCCAACGCCGAGTACGAGAAGAAGGTCATGCCCAACACCACCTACTTCGGCACCTGGGCCCAGTGCTTCAGCGGCAGCGTCTGGGAGGCCAAGTCCAACCTCCGCCGCACCATCCTCGGTACCTCCCTCCAGATGATGCAACAATGGACCGGTGTCAACTTCATCTTCTACTACTCGACCCCCTTCCTCCAATCCACCGGCGCCATCTCCAACACCTTCCTCATCTCCCTCATCTTCACCCTCATCAATGTGCTCTCGACGCCCATCTCCTTCTGGACCATCGAGCGGTTCGGACGCCGCCCACTCCTCATCTGGGGTGCCCTCGGCATGCTCATCTGCCAGTTCATCGTCGCCATCGTCGGCGACACCGTCGGCTTCAACCACACGCACCTCAACGACGCCGGCGACCAGATCGCCGACAACATCGCCGCCGTCAACGCCCAAATCGCCTTCATCTGCTTCTTCATCTTCTTCTTCGCCTCGACCTGGGGCCCGGGTGCATGGGTCGTCATCGGCGAGATCTTCCCGATCCCGATCCGTTCGCGCGGCGTCGGGCTCTCGACGGCGAGCAACTGGTTGTGGAACACGATCATTGCGGTGATCACGCCGTACATGGTGAACGAGGACGAGGGCAACCTCCGCTCGAACGTGTTCTTCGTGTGGGGCGGCCTGTGCACGTGTGCGTTCGTGTACTCGTACTTCCTCGTCCCCGAGACGAAGGGCTTGACGCTGGAGCAGGTCGATCGGATGTTCGAGGAGACGACCCCGCGCAAGTCGGCGCAGTGGAAGCCGACGACGACGTACGCCGCCCAGCAGGCTGCGCTCGAGAAGCACGAGGACGCGTAAGCTTCTTCCGTCTCTGCGCCTCCCTCGTCTCTTGGGTTCTTGTTCCTCCTCCTCATCCTCATCATTTCCTCTCCTACTCCTGCCCTGCTCCTCTACCTACCCCCCCTTACTCCTTCCCCTTCCTCTTAATGTAAAAACGTGGGCCACGCATGATACGAGCGCTTTAGTAGTTAGGATTTTTAACGACCTTCCACTCAACATCATTATACCACGACAACGATACTTATCTCACATAACACAACATATCTCTTGACTGTCATATCCCCCTCCCCCTCCCTGCTTAGTGTTTACCTTGTAAGATCTTGACGTAGTTCCCGATGTTATTGGCACCCTTTATGTAGCGACAATGAATTGTTCCGTTCCTCAGTCGCGCTTTGGAGTGTCGTGAGAACGACAAGTTTCTTTGGTACTTAGAGTAGGATTAGGTTGGAGAAATGATAGTGGTTTCGTCGTGGAATCGAGAGTGAACTTCCAACTTCAACGAAAGAACAACACGAAGCAGGTGCAGGAGACACGTGAATCTCGAGATCGAAAAAGGAGATGCTCGGACTAGAAAAAGGCAAGAACAATTTGCGCATCGGCGAACTGCGAAGAAGCGCTCGCCAACGACAATCACAAGTGCGCAAGCATGACCGACTATTACCGATTCCAAATCACTTCGACGTCGCGTTCCACCCAACAACAAATTAAATTTGAAAACACGCTATACTTGCGTGAATTGAAATAGAGAAGTGCTGGAGTCCGGAAGAACGATTGAAGACTCGGGAATTGGAGAGGAGGACAGGAACGTGATAAATGAACCACTAGAGATCCGGACTATGTAGGGACTTACACAGACGCGTACTATGTATATTGTACGAGGGCAATCAGAACTCCGATGCGGCGTAGACCATTCAAGTATCAGCTTTGGGAAGGCCTCATCGCATCAGCGTTTCAGGACCCTTGCTAGTGAAGGTCGCGTGCCACAGCGAACAAAGCAGAAAATCGTACGACCGCAGGGCTGATTCCGTATTCTTGCCATCGCACCCAACCTTCAGTTCGAACTTCGGCCGACGGTGCTGAAGTGCGAGCTGTTTGATTATTCAAACCTATAAACAGGGAACTAAAACCAAGGCAGCTGTGACTCCGACGAGAAGAACGAGAGAAAGGCGGAGACTACAAGCAAGTCTTGAACATGACTTCGAATTGAAACTGGAATTGGAACGCCAATATAAATGAGACACGACGCGCCGAGGCAGCCTTAGCTCGGGATGGAAAGAGTCATGAGAACAAACATTGAACGAATGAATAGGCCGTGTACATACCGTGAGACGCTAAGTCGTGGCTAGTGGGACCGTGATGATAGATTCCTCGAATGGCAGACAGGGAAGAGTGGTTTGAAGATGGGGAGGGCCTAAGACGGGGGAGTGGAGGAACGTTGCGGAAGTATGAAACAAATGCGACCGTGTTGTGAAGGGATTGACAGAGAAGTAGATCATTCTTTGAGAGCTCATAATAACGACCAAGGGACATAAGTTGGTTCGGAGGAGAAGATGGGCGCAATAGTCGAGAATTTACGCTGCTTCGACTTCTACTTCTCATCCAATGTCGTACAACGTCCTCGAGACATGGAGAAAGATCTCAGGATCCCTTTATATGTCAATTCCTATTTACGTCGTCTGAATTAATAGGAAGGATGAAGTGCGATTCGAAGTTGTACTAATTAATTATAACTTATTGGGGGTAAGTAAAAATAGAGATATATCTCATTCTCATGGAGAACACGATGTCGCCAGATCTGGGTTCGTTGGTGTTAGTAGTTGGACCGAGTCTTCAATCCTTCGAAGGCGAAATGAGAGCGAGCAATCCGTGAGGTACGTGATGCCGACAAGAATACTGTACCGATACGACCTACTCTTCAGGCCTGGTGACGCGTGACATCCGTGAAGGGATTTGCAACTCTTCAAAGTCGGATGGGACGCGTGACCAAACCCGAAAGTCTTCGCAAATTTGGACGAAATATTTCCATAAGTATATGGTATGCCCGATCGCCCCGCAGGGCCCGAAAAAATGTGTCACTCTTCGAACTGCCTCAGGACGCGTGACATTTCTCGAAACCTCTTCTCTTCAAACATCTCTGTGACGCGTGACCGAAGAGTAGGCCGTATCGATACAGTACACTCCGCACTTGGGGCTTGAGGCCTTGAGGCCTTGAAGCAAGGGGTTATTTCAGAATGGGGATGGCGAACCCCAAGTTGCGACATTTTGATGATAGAGGTTAAGACGACGGGTAAGAGGGAGGGGAGTGGTCCGTGCAATTCGGGAGCGGCCAACACCGACCGGGCCGCACCTGCTTTGGACCGCTCCTCAAGCCATCGAGGCGCTATGCAAGTTAAAAATGGAACTAGCACGCTCAATTTTAGCTCGAACATGCGTAGAACCCACAAGCTTTAAGTCTTTCGAATTGTCGAGACCTACAGATTTGTAAGTATGTAGACTCTAATCTAGAGCCTCTGCGCACCGTAGAACGCGGCGAAATATCGGGTCACAATTAGCATTGCATCCCGTTGGGCGACCAGTGCATATTAGAGGCAAGTACCGAGGTTACTTGGCTTTACGTGCAAAATGTATTGGTAAATTACAATTGAGTTCAAGCTTGACCGGTGCCAGCCGGTGCCCCACAGCTCGTCCGCAGCGCGTTCTCCTTCAAGTCGAATGGGCTGGAGACCCACCGTGCTGGGCTCAATGTAGAGAATATACGGATCTGCGGAGCTTAGCGGAGCGGTTCTAACAAATAGATTTCATGAACAGGACGGACTCTCCGGTCAGAGCGCTCAATATGCTATCAACTATTTGAAGAGCGCACCCGGAAGGTTTCATCAACACCCTCGTCCCATAAACATCTTAGTTAGGTTGTATCAGCTACTTCATAACAGGAGACGGCATATCATGAACGGTGAAGGGCCTGATCTCCAAGTTCAACCCATTACTGGTATATCCCAAGTTGGCAGACGAATTGACTTGGGAGTTTGGCGATGACGACGTTTCGGATATACTTAACCCACCTCTCTGTGATGTGATGTATCTACTTAGATCATCCTGAAGAACTGTCGAGGGACTTCCAATTCTACTTAGACGCCTCGTAATCCAGGAGTGCGCCACACAAATAGCATTCCATGTGTTACATAATCCTCGTTTCTTGGTCGTCGGCAACAGCCGAAGTACCAATAACGGTCGACGCTGCCTTGATCGTAAGAAACTCTTCGTCTGCACCGATCCATCTCGCTGTACTCCTTCTGAGCACGCATTATTATTTTGCGGCCGCTCTCTTTGCTCCCATTCTTCTTCCTTCAAGTTCCTTGCCGTTTCTTGCCGATACTGGATGTCGCACGGTTGCCTGGAGTCGGGTACGACCCTGGACGACACCTGTTCTAGCATGACTTACTCTCTTCTCACACTCACTGTCAATGGCTCAACCGAACTCGAACGAATCCAATAACCTTGAGCCTCTGTCAGCCCAGGAGCCGGTCGAAAGCAATGTGTCCCAGCCCCTTCTCTCAGCACAGGAGCCTAGCAAAAGTGACGCGTACGAACTCCTCAGACACTGGCTCACTGGCAACAACATTCCACGCCCTCGCTTCAAGAATGCGTGCAGTATGTGGAAATCGACCTGTATCAACGATATTGAGGCTGGCGCTCGCCGAGTCATGTTAGACAAATTGCTTCCTGGGAAGAAACTCGGCACAGTACGGGATCAGGTAGCAAGAACCATGTTCGAGAGGCTGCCGCCGGAGACGAAGGGCCAGTGGGAGAAACTGGCGAAGGAGGAGCATGAGAAGGCGCTGGAGAGGTGGAAGAACGAGGTGGAAGGCCCGCTTTCGACGGACCCGGCGGATCGTCAACAGTGCGTCGGTTCTTTTTGTCTGTTGCGGTTGGGGGTGACTTACTCGTGGTGGCTAGGTGTATTGAGAAGATTGGTAGACTCATGCAGCCAATCCTCGATCATCTGTGCGAAGGCACCGGTTTCTGTGCAACGTTGATCTGCGGAGGGCCTGAACCGTCAACTAAAAGTTATCTGGTATGGCCTTCGTTTTGCGGCGCTGGCCAATCTCATTTCCTTCCAGTGTGCACTCAGGAACGACGTCCGGCGACGTAAAAACGAACTTCGGTCGTTCAGAACGCGAAGCATACGAGCGGCACTTTCTCCCCGTATTTCGAAACTTTTTGCGAACCAACTACAGTCAGTACAAGCACCCATAGTCGTCTTCCTGCTGCTCATGCTTCGGACAGGTCCACAGGAGTGCCATTCTCGCGCATTGCCTACTAGGAACACATTCAAACCAATGGAATCTTCTGTAATGGAAGGCGAAATAAACATCAACACTATCGACCTACCCAAAAATATTATGCCGCTATACCCAGCCCCGCCAGCGACGGCATCAACTCCAATCCCTTCAACGGAGACCCCTTCGCTCATATCTCATCCTGACGGATCTGTTTTTCACTTAGAAGACACCCATGCCGCGTCAAATGCTCCGCTTATCAGCCCGCCGCCCAATTTTCCCTCTCTTCTCGAGGCGCCATGGGAAACATCTCCACTGTCAACACCTTCGCTCGCTCGCTCTCCTCCGCCTCCGCTTCCAGTCCTCGTTGAATCCTCAGAAACCTCCTTCGCGACACCTGTTATTCATGCCTCAGCTGCTTCACCTCGTGTAGTTACACCTGCCAATGCATGCGAAGGAAATTCGTTCGTCAGTGCTGTTCCGCCTCAGGATGAAGTTTCAGTATCTCTTCGTCACCAGTCGTCGTTCAAAGATTCGAACACGAGCGGCGATCCATTTGGAGACACGGTCGCCCTCGGGTCGACGTTCTTGGGCAACAGCAGCGCCTTCGGGCTCGATGGCGCTGGTGTTAGATCTCATTCGACTTTCGAATCCCACGAACTGAAGGAAGGAGAAGGCGAGCCAAGCACGGGCCAGGATAAACAACTTTTCAAAAGGCCTCTCGAGGACACCGACTCCATGTCTAACTCCAGCGCGAAACGTGCTCGACGATCAACGTCGATGCCGACCGACTTGGACTCCAAACACGTTGAACCACCACCCGATGCGCCTGCATGGCTGCCACCTGCCCTGTCCATGCTACAACAAAATGATCTAGGAGATGAATGGGTCTCGCTCGTGGGCGCTTGGCTTGCCTTCGAGGTCCAATCTAAATACGAACACGTCGCCAACCTCAGCGCCATCCACCGCCCTCCTGCTGTGCGCGACTGGATTCAGCGTGCGCGTCTGCCGGCGTGGAGACCCAACATACCCAACATCAACAAGTACGCGGCAAAGTTTTGGATGTGGTGGGCGGTTCTGCAACCCCGTTGGCGCGTGAATGAGGATGGGGAAGTGGTCACCAGTGCAGTCGATGGCGACTGGGAGCAACTCAGACGCCCGGGGGTTAATGGGCTCTTAAGTGTACTTGCCTCGCTGTTCTTTTGGGGGGTGGCGGTGAAGGGAAAACGTGAGGCGACGGAAAAGTGGCTTGTGGCTGTGCAGGATGTTCGACTTACCGTCGATAAAGTTAGCGCGCTCCTTCCACTCCCTGCATCATCATAGGTCCTCTTTTGGTTAAATAATCATATTTCTAAGTGAGCACGTACCTAGTTTGTCTTCTGTTTTATTCTGTAGCAATCGTTTCTGGATGCTTGAGTTTCGGAAGGTAAACCAACAATTCCGCTTTATGCATACAAAGCTGGAGTGAGAAGGGACGTTGCCATCTCGCCTGAATCGAGATGCATCGTATAAGGATCTCATGAAACGCCTTATTAGAGTAAAGCGATCCGTGAGACAGATGAAGCCCCAATGAACCTTTCCCGTAAAAAGGGCTGTTTCAGAGTGAGGATAGTCAATTCGACTTTCGACATCATGATGTCTTACGACGATGGTAAGAGGGAGAGAAGTGGTCAATGCAATTCCCCTTTGCCAGTTAAAAGTGGAACGAGAGCGTTAAATCTAAATTGTCAGCTCTTCCCTGGACATTGTTTGATAGCGGCACATTTTCATCGCAGGCAAAGACTCCTTTAGGGTCCTGACCTTCCATTGCGTGGGCAGAAAGAGTTTATTCAAGTTTCGAAGTCCGGACATAAATACAGCTTCCGGCCTCACCGCATCTACATTCTATTCACTCCACACAAGGTAGTGTCGATCCCAGAGGATTATATTTATGCAGGCCACACTTCCTTCTGTTTCTCAAGGCTTCAAATCCAAGACTTGGAGTGCGCCACACAACATCCCCATCACGTGTTTTACCGCACGTGAGTGCAGAATTTTCCCATGCATGTATGAGCTTGGGCAACTTCCCAAGCGCCCATGATAGACGCTGTTGTCGATGTCCTGATCTTGACACCCCCCTCCCTGGCATCATGTACTTGGTCATGGCCCTCTTGAACGTTCTTGGCTTCGGTTCTTGCTGCTCTGAGGCCCCTGCCCTCACAACGTCGCTCGTGTTTCCTGCCGTTTCTTGCCGATGCGGGATGTCGCACGGTTGGCTGCAACATGACCCTGGGCTTTTTCCTGTTTGCTGTCGAATTTTTCTCCAGTGTGCCTCACCCTCACCCGACACTCACTGTCAATGGCTCCTCAAACCGCGAACTAGACCAATCTCGATTCTCCCTCAGCACAGGAGCCGGGCGAACGCAACGCGTATCAACTCCTTAGGCACAGACTTACTGGCGAGAGTATTCCACGCCCTCGTTTGAAGAATGCATGCACGCTGTGGAGAAAGACTCGGCGCGACGACATAGCAGCTGCCGCTCGCCGAACCTTAGCTGGGGAAGGCATTCCTGCGAAGAAACTCGTTGCAGCACGAGACCAGGTGGCAAGGGCCATGTTCGAGAGGCTACCACAGGATACGAAGGCCTGGTGGGAAAAGATGGCGAAGGAAGAGCACGAGAAGGAATTGGAGAAGTGGAAGAAGGAGGTTGAGGGCCCACTTTCGGAGGTCCCAGAGGATCGTCAGCTGTGCGTAGACTCTTTTCTCTGTTCCGAGGGGTTTGAGGAATACTGACTTACTCGTTGCGTAGGTGCATTGAACACATTGTTGAACTCATGCAACCCATACTCGACCTTATGTGCGAAGGTACCGGTTTCTGTGCTACCTTGATGTGTGGAGGGCCGGAACCCGCAAATGGAGGACGACTGAAAGTCATCGGGTATGATGTTCCTTTCGTTCAAATGTCGGGTATTTGACCTCACTGACTTTCAGTGTGCACTCAGGAACGGCATCCGGGGGCGTAAAAGCGAATTTTGGTCGTTCAGAGCACGAGGCGTATGAGCGATACTTTCTCCCCATATTCGGAAACTTTTTACGAGCCAACTAAAGTCAGTCACAACATTCGAAACTTGCATTCACTCCGAGTTGCTCATGTTTTGAACAGGTACCAAAGACTGCCATTCGCGTGCATTGCCTTCTGGGTACACTTTCAGCGCGGAAGAAGGGATAAATGTCGACACCATTGACTTTCTCGAAGACATAATACCCCAATACATAATCACGCCGGCAGTAGCATCATCTGGGGCTCCTTCTGCCAAGAATCCTGCGTTCGTCCCCGGCATCGACATACCTACTTCTGCTTTCGACAACATCGGGAGTGTGCAAAAATTACCATTCAACGAATCAGGAATGTATTCGCTTCCCAATCTATCATGGGCAATGTCGCCCATGTCGAGCTTGACGCCTTCTCCGTCTCGCTCTCTATCACCGCCTCCTCTGTCTCCGTCCTTGAAATTCTCCGAATCCCACTTTGCGATGCCTTCTGTTCATGCCTCTGCTGCTTCATTTCGGATAATCGCGCCTCCTCCCGACGCGTGTGAAGGGCGTTCGTTTCTCACCACGGCCGCTATGGTTCGGCCTCGGGATGAAGCTCCAACTACTCTTGGTCCTGAGTCAGCGGTCGAGATATTGAAAGTGACTACTGATGAATTTGGAGATGGGGTACCCCTTGGGCTAACCTCATTCCGCAATGGAAGTGACCCGGCAGTCGAAGATGACTTCAAGACATCGAACGTCGAACTTCCTGTAGGCGCATACGAAGAGGATTTATCTGTCAGCGCTATTCCGCCTCATCATGAAGTTTCAGCGGCTGGTCCCCAATCTGTGTCAGAGAAAGCGAACGAGATCAGCGACACATCCAGGGACGAGATAGCCCTTGGGGCACTCCCATCGAGCCGCGGAACCGATCCCATGCCTGCCAGTGACAACTCTGAGATATCCAATGTAGCGTCCAAATCTCGTGTAAGAGACGGCGGGGGCGTCTCCGTCACCAGCAGCCATGAAAAAACTTCAAAAAGGCCGCTCGAAGACGCCGACTTAATCTCAGCTTCCAGCGCGAAACGTGCTCGAACACCACCATCGACGCCAACCGAACCAAACTCCAAGCACATTGAGCCACCGCCAGATGCGCCTGCATGGCTGCCACCCGCCCTGTCCATGCTCCAGCAAGGTTCTCTCGGAGACGAATGGGCTAGTCTCGTTCATGCGTGGCTCACCTTCGAGGTTAAATCCCATTACGAACCCGTTGCCGACCTCAGCACTACCCACCGCCCTCCTGCTGTGCGCGACTGGATCCAGCGTGCACGTGCGCCGGCCTGGCGACCCAATATTCCCAATGTAAACAAGTATGCGGCAAAATTCTGGCTGTGGTGGGCAGCGTTGCAACCCCGTTGGCGGCCCGGGATGGACGAAGATGGCGAACTCGTTACGAGTGCCGTGGAAGGCGATTGGGAACCACTCAGGCGCCCTGGGGTAAATGGTCTGTTGAGTGTCCTGGCGGCACTCTTCTTCTGGGGAGTAGTAGTGAAAGGGAAGCGCGCTGGGAGGGATAAATGGCTGCTAGCGGTGCAGGATGTGAAGCTCGCAATCGAGAAAGTCGGCGAAGCCGTTCCGCAAGTTGCGTCACCGTAAGTCATCATTCTTTGGTTATTTGTCTGGGAGATGGTGTCCCGATCTATCTTCCGTGCTGTATTTACATAATCACATACAGCTTTTTGGGCTATAGCATTTTTTAAAGCAATATTAACATTTTTTCTTGATACTACGCACAGGAATGGCCATTGGCGAAATGCTCTGGAAGTATATCCACTTTGGCCGTTCCACATTAAGCTTACATGGAGATCCAAAAATGAGGCCCACAGGCTAGAAACTGGGAGTCGTTTTTCCTTCTTTCTACGAAAATGCCCCTCAGCAACTCACACAGAGGTCCGACCTAAAGAATCCAGTGCATCTGGTCTGATTTTAACTCGTCGGGACCTTCGGAGAGCTCGAGTATGAGCCTTCTGATTCTCAGAAGTTGAGCTGTGATTTGCCGGGTTCAGCTGGGTTCCTGCGCTTTGCACCGGCCTGCGCCACACACCGTGCGAAAGTCACGTGAGGAAACTTGGTGGTTCCGTCAACTTTCGTTCCCCGCCCGGCGCCAGGGTCAGACTGATTCCTCTAAGTTTCTAACACACTTGTATTCGTCTTCATCCCAAGGATTCCGTCATGAAAGCAGTTTTGACATTGGCTGATACGGCGTCCGGCTCCTTTGACCCGGCGAGAACGATGGTCCTGCCGCCCTTGTCGTCGTCCTACCAACTTGAAACATTGCCGCTCAACTGAATGCATGCGACCCTTCAGTCTGGTTCTCTTCTGGTCGACGATGCCGTTAGTGTGACTCACTCTTCCGCAGCACCCATCTTCATGATCAATGGCTCGCAAGCCTACTGTCCATGATGCCGATGGCGCAGGGAACTACACCGCGTACCAGCTCCTCCTGCATAGGATAGTAGGCTCAACCATCAAGCAGCCCCGTCTTAAAACACCATCCAACATCTGGCGGAAGTCTCGTCAGAGCGAGATTGAAGAGGCCACACGCCGCCACGCGTTGGAAAATGGCCTAAAGCCTAAGCAAGTACCCGCTGCTCGAGAGCGTGTGGTGAAGGCCATGTTTGAACGATTACCAAAGGAGAGAAGGAAGAATGGGAGCGACAGGCGAAGGAGGAACATGAGCAGGACCTAGTGAGGTGGAAGGCAGATACTGAGGGGCCGCTTCCCAACGACCCAGACTTTCAGCAACAGTACGTCGCGTTCTTCTTATCTAGCTCGTGACAGCGAACTTATTTGACTTTATAGATGCATTGAAGCTCTCCCTCTTCTCATGCAGCCTCTCCTCGATGGAATACGCGCCTGCACAGGTCTTAACACCACGCTGCTCTTCGGCGGACCCGAACCTGCGGACGGCGGTCGCATGAAAGTGTTTGGGTAGGAAACACCTCTTTCCACCCCGCGTAGCTGCCTTTCTTTATTCCTTACTTCAGAATGCATTCTGGGCACATACCTGACGACCCTACCATGAACTTCGGCCGCGCAGAGCGAAAGCGGTACGACGAACACCTTGTTCCTATCTTTGGGGATTTCCTGCGATCCGCCTATAGTATGCTTTCCATTTTATGAACTTGTAGCATTCCTGATCTCTTTCATAGCCCCGGAAGAGTGCAAGGCTCGCGCGTTACCCAATGAACATAGGTTCTCATTGGCAGATCAGCTATCAGATGAGGACGGCGTCAATGTAAACACAATCGATTTTGTGGGTCATCAGTCCAACAATGAAGTTTCGGATTCTTCGACGTCAACACACCTGGTGCCACTACCTCCAGCCCCTGTGCCCTCTGCATCTGCCCCTCCGATACCTGCCCCTCCTTCGGCGGCACGTGCCGTGCCAACGCTTCCGACAACAAAAGCAAGGCCTCGAATGCGTGCGGCTCCAACGCCAGCGCCTCTGGCGTCTACCTCATCGACGGCAACACTTCTCATGCCAATACCATCGCTGCCATGGGCACGGACATCGATACCGTCCACGTCAACTCGAGCCCATTTTTTCCTGCCGCCTTTACCGGCTTTCCGTGCAGCGGCGCCCGCTGACTTTCCAGTGATAGTGGGGCCCATAGACCCGCCAGCCACATCGAGAAGACTCCGACTCTTAGAAAACCCAGCGGGTATTCCTCCTCCAACGGCGCCTGATCATGCCCGAGTAGAACATGCAATACTACCACCACCGAGAGCACCGGCACCCATACCATCAACGACATCGATGCAAAACCCATTTATGTCATTTATACCTACCTCAACGCAGGTTTGTCCTCCACCGGCACCTGCTGACACTTGGATGGAATACATGCCGCCATCGCCGTGGACGTGGACACCGTCAACGACGTCGATACAAGGCAGATATCGACCTCCTGTACCAAATTTTCATCCAGCAGCACCTGTTCATGTTCGACTGGAACCTGTAGTGCCGCGAGTGCCCGAGATACCCACATCGTCCCCGACATTGACACCCAGAAAGACTCATTTTCAGCCTAGCCCTATGCCAATCTCCCATCCAGCGACAGCTGAATTTACGACGGCACCCGCTTATGCTGTAGTACACTCTCCACCACAGTCGCATACATTGTTGATGACACCGACGCCAACACAGCCCCAATCTCCAACGCCTATCCCTGCACCGATTTCCCCTCCAGCACCTGCTTCAGCCCAAGTGGGGCCCGCATGGTCATCGATACCTGTTGGAATTCAGATGCTGTACGAGTTGCCGTTCGCAAATGAGGACGCAGGTGTTGATCCAGATCCTGTCTCTTCAGACAACCTTCCAGCATCCGAGTCGCCCTTTTCTTCTGCTCCTGCGAATGTCGTTCCAATTTCACCCATTCCAGTGGCCATACCATCTCAACCTGTAGCAGCACCTCTCATTACTTCACCACCAGTCATCGTGGACCCGGAACCCAACGCGATCGAGGTACACCCACCTTCTACAAGCGGCCTGAACGTTGACGACGATGGTATAAGGGATATTGAGTCAGGAGTCGACGAAGAGAGTGTCCATGCTCCTATCGAACATCAAATACAGGACCCGAGCAGCGGTATCCCAAACATCGGCCAAACTTCCGCGAAGCGTCCGCCCCCAGCTCAAAGCGTGTCCACCTAACGACCTCCGCTGCCTCTTCCTCCTCTACACCCATTGCTCCACCGTCAGATGCCCCAGACTGGCTTCCACCCGCCCTCTCCATGCTCCAACAAGGGTCACTAGGCGAACCATGGATTGCCCTCGTCCGCACCTGGCTCTCCTTCGAGGTTCAATCCCACTACGAACCCGTCGCCAACCTCAGCGCGACCCACCGCCCGCCCGCAGTACGCGACTGGATCCAGCGTGCCCGTGCTCCAGCCTGGCGGCCGCAAATCCCCAACGTCGGCAAGTACGGAGCCCAGTTCTGGCGGTGGTGGGCTGGGTTGCAGCCCAGCTGGAGGCGTGACGAGGATGGGGACGTGGTGATGGGTGCAGTAGAGGGCGATTGGGAGCCGTTGAGACGCCCAGGTGTGAATGGGTTGTTGAGCGTGCTGGTCGCGCTCTTCTTTTGGGGTGGTAAGGTGCAAAAGACGCGTGTGGCGAAGGAGAAATGGCTGTTGGCGGTGAAAGATGTGCACCTCGCGATGTCGAAGGTCAGCGAGCTGCTATCTCCGGAATGATTGCTCGTCATGTGCCTTCGTGGTTTTTTCCTGATGAAGTTGAGTGTGTCGTGAATCAATCTCTTTGGAGCAACTCTTTCGCAACGAGAGTTTGATAAAAGTCATGGTTGTGGGTTGTCCGTTCAGGTCGTATTTCATGTCAATGTAAATACTCCAATGTCAGTCTGGTAAATTCCACATTTTAATGCCTTGCCTCGCGTTCTTACGTCTACCCAAAAGGTGTTCACTTTCGTAGGAAACCTTTACTTTCGGTCGAGGAAAATTCCGAGAAACCTATATATAACGGCTTCTGCTCATTTTGTGAGCTTGGGTTCATTTTGTCCGGGCCGCTCCGTGCCGACGCTTTCAACTTCAGACAAAGAGGACTCTGGTGGAGCCACACGCACGAGGCTGTACGCGTCTGAGGCCAACCCACCTCTCCAGCCACAAAGGGGAGGCGTTGTACAAAGATGCGACAATGGAGGGTGGCCCTCACTCGAACGCCGGTGGGTGTATATAAGAAGACGCCATCGTTCGCCCGGTGGATGCCACTTGCCTCGTCTTCTCTCCGCTCATCCACTCTCTCACCTACCTAGAAGGTAGTGTTTCTGGATAAACTGCTTCTGCGAAGGACTGGGGACTCCCTCTCACAACCTCTATACCTGCGACACGTTTGCGTCTGGAACGCTACCCTAAACGACCACGCCATAACACGATTTCCTCGCTCAAGTACGCATTGTAGGCAGGACTCCATTTAGAAGTACTCTATGGAAGTCGACTACCCCGAGGAACACTCTCAGTACTCTTCCACGGTTACAGAGAGACGAGGGATCACTTTCAAGCAGATTCCCCTCTCTTCCTCCCCTTACGCGAGTCAGCTCTCTCTTTCGGCCGCGCTCGCTCTGGATCCCACTCCACATGGACGCGCTACTCATACACCGTTAAAACGCAAAGTTTCCGAGCCGTGTCTCCCCCAGGGTCAGCCCAAGGCCTCGGGCTCGAAGTCTCATATCTTTGACATGAGGAGCGCCTTTTCGTTAACGGGCGGAGGAGTCGCTCTTCGTGCACCAGCTCCTCCTGCCGTTCCTGTTTCGCTGGGAGTATTTGGGACCAGAACTTCGAGCCCTCGTTCTCCGCCAAGGAGAACCCCGGGACGAAGCACAACCAAAGGAAGCGCCAACAGCAGCATGGGTGTGAAGGGACGGAGTCTGTCAGTTTCGACGTCACCTTCTGGAAAGAAGAAGAGCTCGCCGCTGAGCATCCGAACGAGCCGCACTATATCTGGACAAGGAACTCCGTCACCCAAGAGGAAACGGACGACGGCTGGCAAGATGTTCGGCATCGACGGAGTGAAGGGGAGAGTCAAGCAGATCGTTGGGAAGAAGTGGAAGGGAGAGATGAACGAGGAGTATTCGGACGGCATGCAAGAACCGTTGATCGACTCGAACAGTTCAAGCCTCCCGGAGCCGCAAGGGAGAGCAGGGTCTGAGCGTCCGGTGACGGTGACGACCATGCAGGGCGAGAACAACTCGGACGATGACCCAGTTCAGGAAATACAAGTGCCGCAAAGGTTGGCTCTTAACGGCATGTGCACGGACGGCGGGGAACCACTCAGTGGCAAAAGCCTCGATAGTATGAGCACCGAGCCTTCGACCCCGATGAGTCTCTTGGAAGGCACCATCATGCAGGCTGAGCGCGCCTACAGTGCGCGAGCGACGCTGGTCATGTTCCCTGCCGCAAATTCGCATATATCTCCGTATATGACCAGGAGTGTGGAGGAACTATTCGTGGAAAAGGCAGAACTGCAAGAAGGTTCTTCAAGGACGCAATCGCGGATGAGCGTTGAGGTCGACATTCCGATGCAATCACCGTCGAGCCCAGTTGTACCCATTACGCCCAACAGGGAGGAACAAGCAGTAGCGAGGAAGAACAAGTTGGTCAAACTCTTCGGAGAAGGGTCGGAAGAGGCGGTGGCTAACATGAGCTACAAGGAGAGGGTAGGTGGGCAAACGCAAAATCAGAGCACATCTTCTTGATTTTGAGGTCGTCATAATTCTGTACTTAGCGGAGCATAATTGTGTCTTTCATTTTGCGCTAGGTCGTTGAATCTAGATGCGAACCATTCCGACCACCGATTATCGATATGTTTCTGATGCGAAGAAGATTCAAACAATTCAGAAAAGAAGGGAGGGAATACCCCCCGAGGAGGGCAGAAAGGACTTATCTTACCTCAGAAACCCCTCATGCTCCACCCTGGAAGAGCATTTATTCATCGCATATGAAGCCATTGTGTTCTTCTCTGAAATAGCTCGAACGGATTACGACATCCTGAGCCACATATGTATTCCTGGCGGTGCTCTTTGTCGATCCAAACGACTTTCAAGCCGTTCATATCGTCCAAGTAATCCAATCGACTTCGCGGCATAGTTGACCCGAGATCTAAGACCCCGAGTTGATATCCGCTCTCCATCCTCCAGCGAAAGAATTGCTCGCATGCCGTGGCGCTCTCGCCCAAATCGTGCAGACCGTCGATCCGTAGCGTTCTCAGCCTCGGGAGTAATCTTGGTTCGTCAGCCCGAGAGGCGATGCAAGGGAGTTTTACTAGCGCTTCGAGGGTGATTATTGTGGTGTCCAAGGTCTCAATGTTGGGAAGTGAGGCGAGAAAGTTTTGAATATCGATACCGGGATTGCATCTTTTGAGTCATCTGTAGGTTTAATGTCGTAATGTGAACCAAGTCGCTAGGCGGAAAGGCATTCAAGCAGGTGAAAATTCGAGAGAAATCCCCTGCGTTGTCGGGGAAGAAGATGATTTCGAAGAGCGGGTGGTACTTGCGATGCAGAGAGTCTTGCCGGAGTAATACCTTTTGGTACGTTACGGTGAAATTTAGCGTGTGGCTTTTCCACAACTTGGCGTAAGCTGAAAGGTTACGATGGATCATGGACGTTCCGGGTGATGAAAGGGGCATTTGGCAGTTCGTGATCACTACCCTCAATCGACATTGTGGCGGGGCGTGGATGTGCCCTAAAAATACCGCGACTGGGAAGAGTTCATGGCATAGAGTAAGATCCGATAGTTGAGGTAGTTGAACGATCGGGAGTGATATTGAGGAAATTTCACTTTCTTCGATGGCTGAGAATGCTTCGCGTAGGCTGAGGGACTCCAACTGTGGCATGCTCCTGAGTTGTTCGAGCCACATGGATAAGGGTGGCGATGCCTCGAGAGGTCCATTGACATCCAGAAGGCGTAGTTGGACGAGCCATGGAGCGTTGATGAAAGTTGTGTGTTCAGCTCCGAGACATCGAAAAGACCACAATTTTGGAGCCACATCGCCGAATAATCGGTCGTGCGTTGAAAGTGGTTGCGCACAACCGAAGTTCGATACCTGGAACACCTTCAATGCTTTTGATGGCTCGGAGATGGGGTACCAGATTTTGCGGACCAGATCGTCCGATATAGACCCCATCTTGTGGATTTCGATGTTCAAATTCTCGATTCTGGACCAGTTCCGATGAAGAATTTCAGAGAAAAATTCTCGCGCACTTTCATCGCTGCTCGGGAACCGGCCCTTCACGGTGAGGAGGGCATTTCCTGTGCGACGAACAATTTCTTCTCGCCATTCTCCCCTAATGCGAGTGAGATACCCGATATCAATGAGGCTTCCCCAGAGACACGAGGCGGAGAGGATGAGTTGGCGCCATGAGTTGCAGACGTGGGAAGCATCGCGAGTGATTGTCAAAGCGCGAGATTCTCAGTCTCGGTACAAGTCGAGATTGTATCCATCGTCTTCCATATTCGCGTTCAAAAGGAAGATTTTCAATAGGACGTTCTCGTCCAGCTTCTGGATCGGCGAAGATCTTGAACTACTGTCGTTCGAGCAGTTGTCGTTTTCACTGTTGTCCATGTTCATTGAAGCTAGCAGTTTCTATCAGCAACATTCGACGCATCCAATTAGCTAAATTTTGATAACACGCACAACAAAATTGGCTCCGAAGGAGATTCAACGTTCAACACTCAGTACTCAATCCTCGGTGGTGGTTCAGTTTAAGCCTCAAGGTGACCTCGTGGTTGGATAAGCCCGTGGATAATCGGATCGGGCGGCATGTCCCGAGCTGATCCTTCTGCTCTACTCCGTGTACTACGACTCGCTCAGGGCCTGTTCGGCCATGTCACTCGGAGCCAGACTTATGGTTTCTTATTTTCTCGTCAAAGGAACAAGAAAATAAAATTTGTTACGTCGAATTTAATTGCCCATTGAGAACTACGGGAGAGTCACCTCCGTGGTTATCGTTGGCATCCATTATGTCGTGTACGGTCATCGAGCAATTGATGACAGGTTTACAGCGCTCTGGGTTATCCGATCGGAGGATACGAAACCAGTTGCTAAAGGCCTCCTTGAAACTTCATCTGGAGACGCGTCTCTCTGATATGCAATCTTCTCCCCCTGATTGTTGGTTTCATCCCAAAATCGTTTCTCTGGCATTTCGAGGCGGTAGTACTTCGCCTACCTTGGAGGGTCTTGACTTTCTTCTCTGTGGATTTTGGGTCCGTGGATGAGTCAAGTTTTGAGAAATGAGACTGATGACCAAATTATATTTACACAGGTGAAATAGAATCTGATCACAATCCGACAAGGTCGCCTTTCTGTCTCGTTAGTCCTATATTCTTCTTCGGGCTGTTCTTTCAACAGAAACTCTAGGGTGCAGACGCCAGAAAGGACTCATTTATGATCCTCGTTCGCTCATGATTGAATCGGACCTATTGTAAATCGGAACGATGCTGATTGGATTGCTTCGCCCACTTTATAATTTGCTCTTAGCATCATGGACGACCTCCTCTCGTCTCACCATTCGGTCGATGACTAGTTGCCTATCTAGTATCTATCTTTCATTACGGGTTTAGCAGCTAAGTACGAGGGAAATATTCATTACGACATGATAAAGAGACCCGGAGACAATCCTGGTCAAGATTTCGATACCACTTGCTGCAGAACACTTCCACTCTCATCCCTCTTACCCGAGTCTTCCTTCTTCCCTCATCCTTCCGACAAATGGAAGACTTGGACGTCCCGAGAAACTGTTTTTAACGACCATAGTTCCCGACTCTTATCTCCTCTCTCAGGCTTTCTAATCGCCCCTATAGGGGCCTTGTCAGTCATCTGGCACCGTAGCTCATGGGGTTTTGTTCTGTCCGAAATGACATGGAAGACTTGGGTTTGGTCTGGTGGCTCATCTACTAACTTCTCCAGGTTATTAACAAGGCTAACGTCTACCCTATCGCCACCGAGAGCGACTAACAGATGGTCACGAGCGCTGACTCCAACGTGGAATTTATGTCCTTATGAGAAACCGCAGCACCATGAATAGCGCAGAGCGGAATGTTCTTCCCATGACATGCTATAAAGGATATGGCGCTCTTCAAAGACCTCGCCCCAGATTTTGGGGTACGGGGAGCCGTTCCTTCCTCTGCTCGTATAATTCGAAAGCTACATTCAACTGCAAAGTTTCCGGTGTTCGGCGAAGGAATCCGGAAGGTATTCTGCGACCACGATTCAGACCTCTATCATCTGTAGCCTGGATTTTCCTGTCGCCCACGGTTAGAATTCTCCCATATTAAGTATTCTGCAGGCCCTCGGAGTGTGCTAGATAACCATGATTTTACTCACTATGGGCGTATATTCTCTCGGGGCCAGTGCAGCCTTCAGGGGTCAAGACCATTATAGAATGAATAACCGACGCTGGCATGGAACTGCTGAGCGCTCCTTCTTTCGAAGAAGCGCTAAAGTCATCCGAGGACTTTAGGTGGCAGATGCAATAATCATACTCAGACACATGAGATCATGTCACGGTATGGAAATTCGGGAGGTTTGCCGCTGAGGATATGAACACCGGGTAGGTAAAGCGCGTGGTCGATGTCGCTTGGTGTGTATACGGCTGAACTAAGAATAGCAAGCTCATGCGTTCGCCTGGGATTCGGGAGCCAAATTCCTCAACGAAACGAGATTGTGTAGTACATGGCTGCTGGTGTCAAGAAGCGGGATTCGAGATGGGCGTTCAGTGGCCGTCCCGCCCTTGTCCCTCCTGATAACCTGCAAGTCGCATCTATAGGGAAGGCTATCGCGATATATGGAGGGCTAAGCAGGCTCAAAGGACGAATTCTTCGTGATTAAGTTCTCTCACTACGCCAAACTCCGAGCGCCAACTTCTTCGTCCTATCTACTCTTTAGTCCACAGCCCTAGTGTTTTTAATACTGCAGAGTGAGCGCCGCCTTGAGCAAGCACAAGGATATTTAGGCATGGGTCCAGGATGATTAAAGGAGTCCCGACGAATAATAGATGAAATCAGGTAATTTCGGCATGGCCACCGTTAAATAAAGGCGCTGGGAGACGACACAGATTTTCTGACGTTTCGCGCCCTGACTGCAGGGTGCTTAGTTCCGTCGATGGAATTACATGTGCGAATGCTCCATGCCACCGAGAACGAGAGCATCCTCGAAACAAGACAGGATCCAATTGGGCTAGAATTATGGGCCCATCCCAACAGTTGTGACGAATCCACAATCGTCTCCTAGACGCGACAGGAGAGTAAAAAGGATGACACGATTAACGTAGAAATATTGAGTCAAGATCATCACCTCAAATGCAATTTTTAATTTGCCCATCAGCCGACAATAAGATAACCCGCCCTTCCGGAAGGACGACCTCCTGTAAGCTCCAAACAAATTCTTACAACCGATCGGCGAGCTCCAAGTCTGCAAGTGCATATTTCGAGATCCAAAAAGCGCGGCCTATAATTTAGAACAAGAATTCTCGAACTGGCGCAGACCTGAAAGAAGTATCGAGGAGCTGTCAAGGGATGATCTTACGTAGGGTTAATCATCGAGTGAAAAATGATCGAATAAAAATTACTTCACTGTGACTTCCACCAGATCTCCTTCCGAAATCGCCTCGTCCAAAAGCTGGTACAAGTATTGCACTAGGTCGGCATTCTACTCTACTACGTGGAGATCAGCTCCAAAACATGGGGTAGGGACGCTATTGGTGTACTATCGGCATATGTCGGGCGATGTAGGGAGTGGCATGGTGTCAGGTACACGGTTTGATGGGTCTATGAGTTGAGGAACGCCGGTTAATACACTTCCTTCCTTCCTTCCTTCGACCGCCTGACGGTCTTGTGCACCTTCGTTGCAATGTCGAACTCAAGCCCGTCATCCTACACGATATTCTAACGGCGACCTATCCACCCATCCTGCCTCACTCCAGACACTCAGAAATGTCATAATCGGCGATTTAACGGTCCATAAAGTTAGTATTTATCTCGCATGATTGTCTGTCATCTAGAAGAACGCAATAGGGTTCGGCTCCCCCCCCGTAATCGTCTGCCCAACGTCCCAATGCTCCATGATGCAAGTCCCGTTGAAGCGGAAGAGATCCATTATGGCTATGTCGAGTTGGTTGGTGATCATGGCGCGGTCATGGAGGAGACCGAATCCCTGCCCGGCGAAAACTTGGGCGACTGTGATCCAGAGGTCTGGATTGCTGACGAAGGGTATGAGCACCCTGACGGCGCTCTCGCGCCCCGATTCCGCGTTCGGGCTGTGGTTAATATAAGTCCTTTACGAGGTCGGGTCAGAACCTGCGTGGAGGATGACGAAACGGAGGGAAGGAGAGACTTACCCGGGGATCCAGTCGTCGAAGCCCACCTGGATGTTCCTGTTCACGAGGAAGGAATGCGTGAAGTCTTGCAGGGCTTCAAGTTGATCCTCATCGGTTGCAGGTTCCGTCGTCGAGCACTTGACCGCGAAACAGCAAGTAGCAGCGAGTATTGGTGCCACGATGACGGATACGCTCGTGAAACGCATTGGGATTTCTTTCGTGAGTTTGATCGACGAAGTTACAGTAGTCGTCTGGGTTGCGAAAGTCGAGCTCGTATGGTGCCCTCGATGCGCTTGGGGCGTTTATATACTCCTTCAGTTGTGGAGTTTAAGATTACACTCCCTCGTCTACACGCGGGAAGTCTGCTAAAATATGAACGGAGATGTCTCGAAAGAAGCTTGGCCGCTTCTCCGAGAGCTATTTTTAGTTTGTATGAGGGAATTATGAGTCGAAGCAACGATAAACGGCGTTATTGTGACGGCGTTGACTGAGATAGGATAATTCTGAAGACGGGTCACCCATATTCCCCTTCATTTACACCCTATATCTTTCTGTTTCTATGTCCCCACGCGTGCCCCAGATAAGAGGATTTAATGTAGGATCTCTCGACATTTCTTGCCCGTGCTATGACTTTCCGTGGCCACGACTACTAATGAAGAGATCAGCTTCCGTTCTCTTTGACTGGCTTCAAACGATCTTATCAAGTGTCTTCAGAGAAATATTGCATTGATTTGACCCGAACTCTCCAATCTCTGTCAACTCCATCCAAAACCTAAAAGAACGCAATAGGGTTCGGCTCCCTGCCTGTAATCGTCTGTCCGACATCCCAGTGCTCCACAATGCATGTCCCCTCGAAGCGGAAGCGGTCCATGATAGCCATGTCGAGCTGGCCGGGAATCCTTGCGCGGTAGTGGATCAGGCCGTAGCCTTGCCCGGCGAAGACCTGGGCGACGGTGAATTGGAGGCTCGGGTTGCTAACGAACGGCCTAAGAGCGTTGAGGGCGTTCTCGCGGCCGGATTGCGCGTTGGGGTTGTGGTTGATGTAGGTTCTGAGCGTCGGTGGTGTGTCAGAAGGTCGGTCGAAAGTACATGATCAAGGGTTGTGAGACACACCCGGGAATCCAGTCGTCGAATCCTTTCTGTATGTTCTTGATGACGAGGAACGACTTGGCGAAATCCTTGATAGCCTCGAGCTGTTCAGCGTCTGTTGCACCGGGGGCGGTGGAACATTTGGCCGCGAATGTGGGGATAATGGCGAGAGCGGCTGCTGCCACGGCGGCGATCACACCTGTGAAGCGCATGACTAGATGTGTCGAAAGTTTACTCGAAGGGATGAAATGGTCGTCGGGGCGGCGAAATTCGATACTTGGTGCTTTTGAGACGTTCGGGGCGTTTATATACTCCCCCTCCGAACGCGAAGCTAATGACGCTGCGAGATTTACACGAGGGAGGCCGGTTAAATATATTGTCAGGCTGAGAGAAGCCTCGAAAGAAGCTTGGCCACTCAGTTTCGTCGCCGAGCGCCACGTTTATCAACGCGAGGTCCTTCGACGGCGTGTTTTTAAATTGTACCTTGGCTTCCGTTCCGCGGCCAGCTACCGACATCCCTCCAAGTGGCCAACACTGACTCTGTCAAGAAGCCAGCAGAGCTCAGCGGACCCCAACGTCGGGGAAGATTCGAAGTCAGCCTCGCTGTCCAAGGAAGCGACTAGGAATTCAGGCATTCAAAGTGCTCGCCCGATGAACGGCTCCAAGCAGAATCGACCGCATAGGCTGTGTAGAAATGTCTCCAAGGCACGGTGTCGATTCCCCGGCCTACCATCTTCCTTCGTCTTCTCGTCGTGGGACAATCAGCTTCCGACGCCAGGATTACTCAGAAGTTCCTCCATCGTGCATGGAAAACACCTTTTTTCGTTGGTCAGGCGCAGTAAGCTACCTATCTAATGACATAGCAAACGGGAGAATATTTCAGCAGGCTATAAAACCTCAGGTGAACCTGGTGCAAGCCCGAGGGTCGGTTGTATGGACAGCACTGCCCGACGGGGTCTTTCCATGTCGACACGCATGTTGCAGACTTCTATCTCCTCTTCTCACTCGCGGTACAATTTCCAGCGATGCGGGGAGCGAACTTGACTAGGGATGGGCAGTTACTAGCCTTTGTAGTGTCGGGCGCTAGAAAGTCGGTATAGCGGTCTCCGAAGCGAGCGAAGCAGGGTCAAGCGACGTTTTTGTATATAGCCTAATGAAGCGAAGTTGTCCCGTAGTCTATTCATGAGTTATAGCTAAGCCACTTGTCTAACCAAGATACCACCTTCCCTTCAGTCGTCAAATTCTCACTCGCCCGACGCGCGCTCATCGCACCCGGTCACCGCCGCCGTTGCCTCTTCCAGACTTCCACTACCAAAAACCCACGAAACGGCTGCTAACCACGATTCAAATATTATCCCTCCTCCTTCTCGGTCTGCGGGGATCTTACTAACGCGTTAGCATGGCGCCGCAAAGCCCAAGCAAGGAAATCGCTGCTTATCATACCAGTTGTCAGCGCATTCGCGTCATCGAAGACGCTACAGTAATTCACTGCCTTCTTGTACAGCAAAAATGAAAATGCCCTCTACTGTTCGTCATAGATGAAACTCTTGTTCATTTCTGTATATATGAGCTGCCTATATGTCGAAACTAGGTCAGTGTGCGATTTGAACGCCGTCGGGTGAGAAATGGACACGCTGTCAGTAAATCCGTGCCGGGGTACCCTTTTTGGGCAAAACCGGGCAGTTGTACAGTGTCACGCCGTTGCCGGTGGCTGTGTCACGCAGCTCAGTTATCTTCGGTCCGATGCGATCAATCGATAAACACTTGTTCTATTCTTCGTCTATCGTACCGTCGCCACCCACATCCTCCTCAGGATCCTCCTCAGGATCTTTCCGCGCCTTCTTGGTTGGGGGTTTTACCCGGGCCTCCTTGTAATTCGAACGCAAAGGCTTTGGATGGGCTTTGTCCCAAACCTTCAGCTTGCGGCCCGCCTCCTTCGCTGCTACTCGTGCTGCTGTCCACTTGTTTGCATCCTCCTGAAACTGGCGATACAGTGCCGCATTCCTAGCCTCCCGACCATCCTCATGTGCCTGCCACACTGCCATCCGCTCCTCGTATTCAAGCTGCTGGGCAGCCCTCTCCTCCTTGTCGCGCGCCTCCTTCGCCTTCGCATCCTCGTGCTCCTTGACGGCTCGAATCACGGCGGAATGTGTCATCAAACGAGGTAAGCCGTCTCGTAGAATACCTCCTCGCCCCTTCTTCTTCCTCTCTGCCTTTCCTTCCTTCGCTTGAAGCTGACGACGCAGTTTGTTGCAGTATAATCGCTGCAACACGAGCATGGATTGCATACGGATCGCCTGCTCCTTGTAGTAATCTGCTGCCGCTGCTTTCGCAATGAGAGCCTCCTGCATGGCGTCCTCGTCGGGTGTGGATGTCGCCTTTGTTGTGAGGTATGTGACATCTTGCCTTGACATTGATGGTTTGGTAATGCGACGTTTCATAGGCGAGATGAGAACATTCGGCAGATCGGGTGGATTAGAAGACGATGGGATAGGCGTTTGTGAGAAGAGAAAGCCGCAATCAGAGTTGGCAAGTTCTTCGAGGGCAGCTCGGATGGGAAAGGTGTCAAGCCGTGGGTGGGCAGGTTCATCATTTACAGGTTCTTGTTCCTCCCCTTCTCCCTCCTCACCCGCTTCATGACCAGCCTCACCACCCCCCTCCTCAACATCATCTACCTCCTCATCAGCACCATCCTCCACCTCCTTGTCCTGCTCTCCATCCGCCACCGCTTCTTCCTCCTCTTCACCCGCTTCATATTCCTCATCACCTCTCTTGTCAACCGCATCCTCACTGGCTCCCTCATCCTCACCTTTGGAATCTGTATCCGAATCATTGTTTGGAGACGACGTGATGAAGATAGGCTGGAGGGTGTCAATGATCAGCTCCGTCATGATGCGGACAGCAGCCGGTGGCTCGACTGGGGTGTAATGCCGAAACGAGGTGTCGCGGCTGGGAGCGAGCTTATCGGCGGAGATCACGTCGCGGTTAAAAGGTATGATTCCTGTCTTCGAGAACGCCTTCTTGATTAACTCCGGTTGTAGTATCGCAAGATGGGTGTCACCATAAACCTCCAGGAAGTTCTCTTTTGAGATCTCCTGGCCCGTCTCTCGAAAGAGTTTGTCACGGTTCTCACCGAACCTTTGCTTCATCAGGCTGAATATCACAACATCCAGACCTTGGTAAATGTGAGTTGTATGGGCAGGATAGCACAAGACATGGATCTTATGCGCCTTGCAGAACATCAAGAACCCGCGAGTGACATGTGAACCATGTCCGTCGACGTAGAGGACTTGCCACCTGCCACCCGCCTTCTCACGAGTCATTCGCTCGAAGTGCTTTGCGTACTCGATGCCGATCTCGTTATCCGTCCAGCCCTTCTTCGAGTATCCCAGCCTTGTCGCAGTAAGTACATGATATGATCCAAAAGGTTATCATTACTCACATTGCTTCTGCAGGGTTATCTTGCTTCCACCGAACCGCAAAGCCCTTTCCAGAAAACAAAACGGCTGGAGGTATGGCAGTCCCATCCAAGCAGATATTGACAATGACAGTCGTTGTCTCCCTCGTTCCAGCTTGCTGCTGGTACTGGACGTTCTTGCCCGCTCCGCCAATCACCCGCTCTTCTCCCTCATCACCGTTAGCCTGAAAACCTGCCTCATCCAGCGCGTACGTGTTCTCAGGTGCAATTGCGTTGCCCTCATCTCCATGCAGCTGGACGTTCTCAACGAGATCACACCAGGCCTTATGGTTTTCTGGGTTCGCAGCTTTCCCTCGGACATCATGGAGTGGCCGAGTCCGGTATATGTGAAGGTGTTTGTGATGCCGCTCAACAAAGCGGTGGGACCAGTGCTTCCCAAGACCAGGAAAGGAGGTGCCATAATGCGCTCGGCAGAGCTCTATGACGTGCTCCTTCAAACGACGATGTGACAGCCTGAAGCCCTGAGCTGCCGTCTCGATGAGGTAATTGACAACCTCTTCTTCTTCGACGGCGCTCAAATGAGATGAATCCCATTTAGTCTCCTCCCGAGGACGTGTTTTGCCAGTTGCGTGATTACGGACAGTGTTGTGATTCAGCTTCAGCCAGTGGCCTGTCTTGGCATGCCATCGCTTGCGTGCCTCCTCAGCCACCTCCCGGTAAGACAGGCGCTCGTCTTTTGGCTTCTGTTGCTCATCCAGCCAAATTGCGTGAGCAATCCGGTAAGCTCTTGCCTTTTCCTCTTCTTCTTGGCGTTTTTTTAGCGCGTCGGAGGCTGCGTGCTTTGCCATGGGGGTGTATTAAGGTAGTTTAGTGTTGACCGTAATAAAGCGTGTTGAGGAGCTTGCGGAAAAAGCAGTTATGTGTTCGAAATTGAGGAAAACGGGGGATCAAGGTGCAGCGTGACGGGTGTGTCACACTTATGATGCGGTGTGACATTCCCCATCACCGATGACCAATTTCCCCCCTCCAGATGATCTTAAGGCCCTGGAGCTCTCTTGGTGATAGCCCAACCCAAAATTTGCATTTCAGTCAGTCAGAACATGATATTCAGACATCTTTTACTCTCAAAGTTGGTCTCTAGTGTCATGGAAGAGTCACGAAGGATGGTCGATTTTTTTGCCCAATTTCCGCTTTTGGAATGTTTTCCCATCCCTGTCAGCGGAAGCAGTGCCGCCTCTCCCACAAAGGTTGCAAATGGTGATCCAACCATATATTCACCCACAGGATTCAAGAAACATACCCGATCATAGTCCTATCACTCAAAAAGTCACTGTGTACAACTGGGCGGGGGTGTACAAGAAGCCAGTGAATTACTGTAGAAACACGTGGTCAATTCTTAGCATGCGTCATCTCCCCATATGGAAGGAGGATCAGCTAATTTGGGCGTGTCGCACCGCACCGTCCGCCGTTCGTCGGTCGTCGGTCGACTCATGTGTAAAGGTAAGTGCGAAGGACGGCGAGAAAAAGGAACAGAAATGTTCTGTCCCATTGCTTATTGTAAAAGACTCAAACTCAGCAAAAGCAGCACCCCTCGGCTCGCATCCTAGCCAGTACCTCGAATACCAAAGGTAGTCTAGACAGAGATATTTTGTATGGCTTCCTCCATGCGGCATATGTGATCCAGCCTTATCGTCCAGAACAGATCGCAGCCCGTTCGCATCATCTTCTCCAGCAACAAGCTATTCATTTCCAACAATTAAACCTCAAATCCCCATGCCACCTCGGAAACCCCAGGTCGCCTGTTAAAAATTTACGATTTACATGACTCATGTGAGCACCAACGGTGAGCCATTCTATTCGTCCTCGCGAACGACTTCGACTCTTTTTTATGTACTCCTATATACATACTAAAATACACGCGCTCGTTGAGGATGGCTCCAAATCGTGCGTCCATGAGTATATGATACACAGCGCTGCTCTGCATGGAGGGTCGAGATATCTCGACCTTCATCTCTTTCAATCTTCGTCGTCTTCGTCATCGTCGTGCTACGGGTGCCTAAGCTACTCATCGTCTTGGGGTTCTGCGGGGATATTGGGGGTGGAGGCTTCTTCCGATCCATTTTCGTGGTGCTCTACTCGATACATATCTGGATAACAATATCACAACGTCAGCGCCCAACCAAAGTGAAGGAGAAAAGGAAAGAAAAGAGGGGACTAACCAAACGACACTACACACCCCCTCCCACACCCACGCCCACACCCATCCTCGCGAACCCCGCCCCGAGTCACCCAGGCCCTAACGAATCCTTCTTCATCCCTCCATCGCCATTCAACCCACCCCCAATCCCCACACCCACGCCCATCAAGCCCCCAACACCCGGCGGGCTCCTCTTACCCCCACCACCTAGCCCAGGCCCCAAGCCCATCGGCGACCCGCTCGTACCGGAGGTAGAGGAGGGCGGCGGGGGCACGGAGGAGGAAGGTGTGGGACCGCCGCGCTCCCAGGACATGCTTTCGCGTGCGGCGGCGGCGGCAGCAGCGGAGGAAGGGTTGTTGGGGTTGCCGGAGAGGAAGTCGAGCCAGTTGCCTGTTGAGGAGGGGTTGCCGGAGGAGGAAGGGTCGGGTGCGGATGAGGAGGGGTTAGAGGAGGGGTTTGATACTGTGGAAGGAGGGGGTGTTAGTGTTGGGAAGGGATGACAGATGGGAAGAGGAAGAGTAAGGGGATAGAAGGAAGTTAAGGGAGGATAAGGAGGAGTCGTATGAATGGGCGCAGATGCAGAAAAGAGAAGTGGAGAGGTCGAAAAGGGATAGAGGTGAAGAACGAAGGCGACGAAGCGGAACTATGTCAGTGAAAGAGTAAAAGGAGGGAGAAAACGAGAATTCGGTCACACCCGACCTCGAAAGTGGTGAAAAAAAAGAGGGCGCAAAGGTCGAGTGTGATGGTCAAGACAGAAATAACGAAGACGACAAAACAGAAACGTATCGTCGAAAAACGATAAAACGAGTAAAAACAACCGCGGAGAACGCACAAGCAAAGAACCAAAGCTCACCCGAACTCGACGCCGACGCTCCCGATCCCGCACCCGTATTATGCACCGGCCAGTCCAAGCTAAAGTTCTGCGGTGGCGGCGGCGGCGGCTCATGGTGCCTCTCACCCGCGTCCATCCCAAAGCCACTAAACAGATCCCCCCCTACACCGCCGGAGCGCGACGACCCCATCATACTTCCCCCGCCGTACATCCCGTCGTACGACCCCGAGCCGCCCGAGCTGCTCCGCTGCGGGAGGCTGGCGAATGCACCGCCCCCACCCCCACC